TATCCTCAATCAAAAACACTGTGGTGCCAAAAATGAATTACATCTAAACTGTCCGCTGTTGCCAAAATGGACGTTTCAACTGTGTTTGCTGCATTCTGCACCGATGGTCTTATCCTCTGATTTGAAACATACCTGCAAAACAACATGTAAGTGTGGTCAGTGGATACTCGTTAGCACTTAGCTATAGATAGAATCACAGAGCTGCTATCGTGATTCTTGTCTGCTAGTCTTCTAAAACCATAAACATGGAGGAGAGAAAATAAAAAACGAGCAAAGTCAGCTTTAATAGACTTGATATCTCTTAATGGTTTTCCTCACTTGACACACAACAATGAAAAATGTTGCCATAAGTACCAACCTGATGAGGGGTGACAAAAACACAGCATTAAATTAAGGTTAGATAAGCCATCTATGTCCGTGCCCCCCCCCCCCAGCCCCCCCTCTAAACGCAACCCTGAGCTAAATGGTTCCGCTCCAGTAACATAATGTCTTCTGGCACAGTGAAAGCCCTCAAGTGTTCCATGATAATAACATCAAGAGCCACCCGGGGATCAAGTTCAGGTGCCAGTTGGACAGGTGCTTCCGCCACACATTATGGCTGGATGGCGTGACCCTCCCCCCCACTCCCCCCCCCTCAAGGATCTCACAGAGACAATAACGAGAAGTGAAATATGCTCAAGTTTTTCTTTGTAATTACATGTGCAGAAGTACTTAATCCCAGAACAATTCATTTTTATTAAGAACTACGGTGTTGGTAGTTCACTGTGCCGCAAATAATCCTTCAGTTGCCATATCGAAAAACAGTTTTTGATCTTCCCGTCATGAATCCAGATGACCAGGTGTGTTATGTGAAAAGCTCAGCGTGGTATTTCAGATCACAAATACCTTTGTTCCTTTTGAAAAAGCTCGGTTAAGATCAAACAAATAATTGGGCACTCTGGGGGACAATAAAAAAAAGGTAACAAATTGCACTGGAGTCAATGTGAGAAAATGTGCTTCACGCATCCCGACATTAAATTCCATCTCAACATTGTTTTACATTACAAAGTTCTTGTATCACTTACTCATATGGCATATCAAAGTATTACAGCCCTCAGAGGAGTGATCATCCACACCATCATTTCAGTCATTAAAAGTCAGTGAAAGTAACTTTTAATGACATCTTCCCTTGTTATGCCACTAGAAATAACTAGAAAATAATTGTCTTTTAAAGTGCAATGTTAGAAACCATTCAATGACCTAGAAACTATAGAAAGTTTCTTAGCATGTGTTAAATATTCATCTCAAACCGGCTGTTTTATTACCTACACTTACCGGGCCATGTCTCTTATTTATATATATATATATATATATATATATATATATATATATATGTTCTACCAAATACCTCCAACTGTACGGATGGATACAATGTTTTCAGGGCAGATGGGCTTTGGGCCAGAGAACAATTGATTACATTTTGGTAGCGCTCCAGATCCGGGATTTCCACCATTAGAAGGTTATTGTTTTTAATCCATAACTCTGAATTTATAGGAGATACGGGCCTTGATTACAAATGCTGAGGGGACGTCGGCAGGATGTAGAGATTTAATTTAAAGTACAAATGACACCACGGGAATGATGCCATTGACTGTAGTTGTTGCGCGGGCAGGTTTTGCAGTTCAAAAGTCCTTCTCAGTTTGAAACTATTAAGCATAATGCCTTTAAGAGCTTGGGGGGGTTTTCGAGGCTCAAGGAAGTGCAGGGGAAAAAAATGATGATCACAGAGGGGGGGATATGCTTTTAATGTTTTTCCTTTTAATGAAGTTTGCTTTCCATTCTTTTCCCCTTCCTTCTGATTCTTTGCAGGAGTCGTAATTGCCTCATAGGGATTCTGGAGCAGCGAAGTGAGCCACTGCGTTAGATATCCATCTATGCCCTTGTTCCTGGGGTAATTAAGGTTTCAGGAGATATCGTGGCTCCTCCAACTAGCCGGCTTTAACAGTCTGTGTCGCAGTGTAGGGGGGTAATCCAAGAGACAAAGCCCGAGTGCTAGAGTCAGGAGAAGTGCCTCGTGTCCTCCTGAGTGAACCTGTCTGAGTACAGTGGTATTGGTCGGGATGACAGAGGCATAATTGTTTAAAGAATGGAGCTATTTTTGTCTTTAGTGGTGCAGATGGAAATTACACTGTATGTACAATAGCCTACCTAGGTCAAATATGCATGTTTTAAAGCTCTCTGTTGTCAAGCAAACACAGCTAATGAATTCTTCTGTGAGAAAACAGATCTAGTGAGGCTTAACGTCAGATGCACGTTCAAAAATGGCCCTTAGATGTGTGCTATCAGTTATGATATATCCATGAGATTAGATCTATATTATTTAGGAACCAATGCATCCCAGTTGGCTCCATGACAGCCGCAACAACAGCTAATTGCTCTGTGCCCGACACGGCCTCCTCAACTACTTTGGAATATGTTCTGACGGCGCCATGTCCCTCTAACATGAAGTGAAAACACAGTCGGAGCTTCGCCCGTTAGATCAGAGCCATTCCTCTTTTTTCTCTGTGGCGGGTTGGTCAAACACTGAGCTCTGGTTTTGGTTGTGCGAGGATGGGGGATGAGGGGTGGGGAGAGCCATTTTCATCTTATCCGTGGGCTTCTTATCGAGAGAGCTGGTGGAGTAAATGACCAAAAGCAAACGTCTTTGGCGAGGCGCTCCAATGACGAGAGCACAACACAAGAATGGCAAGCAGAGAAGAACTCTTGAACACAAAGAACACAGCCCTGGAGCCCCGAGGGGAGAAGCTATGATCTATTTACAAAACTGTTGGGCCCTGTGATAAGCAACGGCAACCGAGTCAAACACTGGTGGTGCGTGCTGGTGTTGTTGCCGACATGAAAAGCAGCTTGGAGAAAGAACCAGAACTCTCATCTCCAGCGTGTCTTCCTGACAAGATCTGTCTCAGACTATCTGTGCCACCGCAGATCATCCTTCCACTGGTAGATTAAGGCGACGCGCTTCACATCTCAGCCCTTCAGAGGTGCGTGTGATTGGCTACATGTTTTAAGGGCGATGCTTAGGTTTGAAGCCAGTGCTTGTGACAGGTCACAGTCCCCAGTACTAATGCCGTCCCCTGTAAGACATCTGCAGCAGAATAAACTCTCTTAACTCGTGCTGCTCTTTCCTTCAAAGCCAATTTCAGCGTTTTTGTCCTTGATGAATACCTCATTGGAACACACACACACGATACAATACTGTTTCCTGGAGAGTGCAAAATTAGTAATTACTTTGCAGGACACCAGATTTGAGAATTAAGCTCGTATCTTAATAAAAAAAAAGACGAAAAAAATATATTCTCAATGTCTCCTTGTTCACCACCGGTTCAGCTCATTCCGCCTTTCCACTGTCTTTTGTGGGGCTTATTTCTCGGCTATTCGTCAGAAGAAACGCTGTGCCGCTTTAGTCGCATCTGGTACATCAACATACCTGACATGTTCCCTTGTAGCCTCCACGATGTTCTTCTGTAGCCAATTTTTGTGATCATGTCATCACTCCCCTCAGTGCCCTGAATGAGATCCGTCATCTACTGCTGCCATGTTTATTCTTTAATACTCGCGAATCTGATATTCGGTTTAAGGTTGCTGGGGGAGGCATCTGCTTTGAACTAGTTGCCATGAAAACACTTTTTAGAATTTCACTGCAAAATATAGTTGAAGGATTGACTCATTTGACCTCTAATAGGATTTATTGCATAAATTTCAATAGCTTTAACAATTGTATAGTTTCTTGTCATTTTTTAATAGTAACCATTACAACCAATTCTGGTCTGGTGTTCTTAAAACTAACGAATGCATCCTTATTACACAAAACATAGTCATTGAAGTAGTTTAGTAATTCTTGCAGCTCAACAGCACAAACTGACTGACTGTCCTCACAGAAACAAACTAAAGTACCAAATCTGAAGCACAAAACCTCGCAGGCCAAAGCTACTAACCATCCACAGAGCGACGTTCCCCGCCTCGCCGGCCCCCAGCTTCTTGATCTCTTGATTTTCCAGATAGCTGGTTCAGCCTGTCCAAAAAAAGCAAATGAGAGAGAGAGACTATTATTGTTTGTGACAGGAGGCGACATCGGAGGAGAGGTGACATATTTATATTATATATTAGTCATTATGTTTACTGAGTCCTCACTAGATGGCAGTGTAGTGCAGCGATTATTGTCAGACAAGTTCTGCCAGACGGCCTTACTTTAGAAACTTTCTGTGCGCATGTGCATGTCAGTCCGTGTGTCCGTGTGTGTGTGTGTATGTGTGTCGGTATAACACAAATGCAATAATTGCTCAGTTATAGCGGAATAGAAGAAGTGTCTGAGTCCCACCATTTGGATGTTTATTTTAATATCTTGTAGTCATTGCCTGTGACCTTTGACCTCCCTGGGTGCGCTCTTTGGCCGGGGCCTTTCTGTGGGTGTGGTTTGTTGGATGCGGAAAACTCAGGAAATGAATGTTTTATCAGCCTGTGCAAAGACAACAACAGCGTAGTGGAGGAAAAGAGAAAGGTCTATATTTGACTCATCAGCTGCTGCCAACCTAAATACAATCATCAGAAAGCCGTTTCCTGTTGGTTTCTCTTCCAAAACATCTGGATTTTTATTTCATAGATACAATCTATGTTTATTCAGAAAGTAAATATTTTAAGTATAGTATCATAGGATTCACAGCAGAGCCTTGTTGAGCGTTTTCTTGATTTTTAAGTCCTCTTATTATTTTGTTAAGACAAACAGCAACCAGGCGCACCTATCCTAGGCATGCATCGCACATACACTGCTATATGCACTCCGGAGATGCAGTGAAGAGGGTGAGCAGCACATCCCACTCACTCACTGTTGGAGAGTATGTGGGAGGAGGTGATAGCGGGCAGCATTCACAGTGTGCAATGTCCTCCTCGACGGCAAAATTTAGCAACATGAAGCACGCTCAATATGCAGAGGAACAATATGCCTGCCAGGAGATTGCTGTAGAGTTCCCCCTTTTATGGTTAGACACAGAGGTATATTGTTATGTGATTTAAAGAAACGATTCACCATTACAGCAAGGAAGGATTGAGCATAATAAATGTCGGGGGCTGCCCATTTTTCCTTCAGTTCAGTCCAGTCTAATCTAAAATCTTGGTCTCCAGAACCACCTCTGACAAGCTTCCCTGCTTTCCTGTGAGAATAGGCAGCCGCCGTCACCGAGGAGTCGAGGGAGTTCAGGAGATCAGAGGCGAGGCAGCAGTTGCCTCTCTTGTGGGAAACCAGATGACCTTCTTCAAAGTGATAATGTAAACAGCTAGTAACTGCTGGAACCGTGGGAGTTTGAAGCAAAACCTGAGGACGTCTCCTGCAGGATAAGTTCCAAAGGGAACAGCGCCGTAAGTTGAATTCTCGTAATCTTTTTGCCTGGTTGTCTTGCATGCTGTCATTTTTTGCAATCCGGGGGTTTGAGGGAGGGTTATTGTCAATGCGTTGTTTGCACGTAAAGGTTAGATTTTCTGACAGTTCTTGTGAGTCAATTTTCAAAATATTAAGACATGGTGATTATGATTTCTGTGCATTACCTTTTCTTTCTGCATTAAACTTACGCCTATTTTTTACAGCATACTCAAGCTGAAACATTCATTGTTGAACCAGTCTGTCTGCAGCTGGACTATTAACTCCAGTTGCAGAGGCTTTAAACAGCCGGTTTCAATTAGTGTCACCCCTAGAAACATGAACAAGCATTTGTTGACTTTAGATGTGGGGCTCGGGCAGAAACGGGTTTTCATAATATGTGTGCCTGGTGATGTGATTTATACACAGCAATAAAACAGAAAAGGCAGGTCGCGACCCAACCCCTTTCATCCGTGCAATGGATTGTTCCTGTTCACATTTTTACAGTATTCATGAAATGAATTTAACGCTTGATTACGTTTTACGACGTCGTCAGCTTGTCGCTCGGTGAACTTCATAATAAATGGAATTCTTTTACGCACTGAATTTGGATACTTTCCCGTTCCCAATAAACCTCAGGTTTTTCTTAGGGGTCTTGAAATTTTTACAGCATCGCTAAATTAAAAAGCCACACTTCCTTTTCCCAGGGTGTTGGTTACAAGGTGACACACAAAGAGGGATGTTTTAACTCGACCACTACCTCAGCCTTGAGTCAAAGTGAACCGCTAACCACTAACCATTAGGCCTCAAACATGGAGGCCATCCAAAGAAAACCACTACGGGGACCACAGCCAGCTCCTCCACTTAGGTAAACAGTCTGTCTATTTCTATGGCGTTATATTTGTGCCACAATCCTGAGCGCGTAATTTTAAGTCTTGAGCACAGAGAACTATGTTGTAGCAAAGAAAAACATTCCGTGCGCGCAGTTTACTCAGGTGCCCTCGCCACAAACTGGTTTTCTGCGCGCAGGCAGCCGTTGCTGCGCTCGCTCCACCTCTTCACGCTGCGCTCGCTCGACGGTTCGCTCTGCGCTCGCTCGACTTGCAGCAGCGTTACATTTGTGCCACAAAACCAACCAATCAGAGAATTAAAGAAGGTCCATTTTGATTGGCTGTTGGTCTCCAATCACAACGCTTCCTAAAGAAGACGAAAATGAGTGATATTAGAAGTCCGACTAGCCACCATCAGACATGACCGAAGCAAATGATGAGAACAGCAAGTGTTTTAATCCAGGCCGTTAGCATTTAGCACAAATGCTGCAAACTTCAACAACTCGCTGAGCTTCCGCGATGCTGTAGGTAGTTCTACTAGCGTTGTGATTGGAGACCAACAGCCAATCACAATGGACCTTCTTTAATTCTCTGATTGGTTGGTTTTGTGGCACAAATGTAACGCTGCTGCAAGTCGAGCGAGCGCGTGAGTGAACCGTCGAGCGAGCGCAGCGTGAAGAGGTGGAGCGAGCGCAGCAACGGCTGCCTGCGCGCAGAAAACCAGTTTGTGGCGAGGGCACCTCAGTAAACTGCGCGCACGGGATGTTTTTCTTTGCTAAAATATAGTTCTCTGTGCTCAAAACTTAAAATTACGCGCTCAGGATTGTGGCACAAATATAACGCCATATATTTCCACACCACTGCTATGTGTGCATATGTGTGCGTCTGTGTGTCTATATGCGCACGTGTCCCAATGCAGTTCTAAGCTGCGGAGGCACCGATCCAACTGTAACAATGTAAATTGTTTCAGGTTCAAAGTGGGCTCTGTTGTTGCCACCCACCCTGCTGTGGGAGTGGGCCATTTTTAGCAAGTTGGGATATATTCCGTGCGAAGTTGTCAAAACAATGGCATTGTTTTGTAGCAGGGAAAAAAAAAAGTCTGTGGAGCAAGTTTTCTTTCCTCCCCCAAGGTTAAGCTAAAATCTAAAAGCGTGCATTTTTAGCTTAATGTAAACGTGTAATTTTAATGTACAGTGTTCCTGGAAAACGAAAGTAGACCAAGCACCTACATCCTCTCCTGATTCCTGATTTGCTCACTACAATTTGATTGTGCTTTAATAATAAACCGTTCCCACGAGTTTAAGTAATGGATTAATAACAAGTGATTTAAATGAAGCAAAATGCCCATCGAGTAAGACAGCGCCTCATACGCCGCAAACACCCAGTAAGCCACATACACATAATGAAATACACTTTGTTTTATTGTCCGCATGATAGAGTCAATGGAGCATACATAACGCAAAAATACATCTGTGAGAATTTAGAGTTGGAAGGGTCCGTCTAATGTGGTCTGCAACTCTTTGATCTAGTTCAGCTTTCTGAGGACAGACAATGTGCAGCTGCTCCGGGTAGATTACTGGTGAGATTGTAGCTAAATATTTAGCAACTAATTTACTCCGTAAACTCGGCTCTAAACAATCTTGCACTGAGGGCGATGGGTCAGGTTGAGTTGATAAAAAAAGCAGTGGTCAACGTATAAATACCACAAAGGGCCGGCAAATCACTGAGAGGGTGGCGGACGATATTTCAGAGATCTCTGCAGTTGGAAAGGAAACAGTTGGGACTCTGATCTTGAGAGCAATCAATACAGAAGGCCTATAACTAATGGTGGAATACAATGACCCTTTCCTTAGTGCTCTAATTATCAGAGGAAACTCTCAGTCTCAGTCAGTCCAGGAAGCAGAATGTGATGTATTTCTAGGAAGTTCTATTCTCTCTTTTCATGCATCGGCAGAGATATTCACTCTTTTCCGCTAATCCAGCCTCAGACGAGAGACAGCGTAAGCACTGGTTACCATGGAAACCAATGCAGGGAACTGGTATGAGACAAAGTTGTCATTTCCCCCCCCTCCACATCAATTATAATTGAAATGTCCATCTGTTGCTCTGGATGTTTTCAGCACTCAGAGTGAGTGGTTCCCAACATAAGAAGATGATTGTTATTCATTAATCGTCCCCAATAACAAAGATTCACTGAAAGCACGCTGTGGGCTGCATTATCTTTGTCACGCAGTACTTTCATAACATCTGCAGTACCTGAGAGTACAAGTTGACTTTAGACATCATCCGCCAGCTCCAGGACAAAACTCTGCAGATTCCAGACAGAGAGAACTGTTTATTTTTCATTCCATAGAAACTGTATCTGAAAAAAGGTACTGTGATATAACAAAGTCATTGTTGTGATACCGAATAAACCAAACACCATCACCTGATGCCTGCTGAGGTGTGACATGGGAACGATTGCATTCCAAAAGGAAATGAAGACAGAAAGGAGAAAATGAGACATAGACAATGATCGATGAAAGAAATGATCAAGGAATAAGAAAACACAAGAGAAAAGGTAACATGTTTGGGGTTAAGGGGTTGACGTGGGGTAGGGGTAGAGGTAGGGGTGCGCCGGGAATCGCAAAGTTGGCGGTTCGAGCCCCACTTCCTCCATGTCCCATGTCGAAGTGTCCCTGAGCAAGACATCTAACCCCTAATTGCTCCCCGGGCAAAAATGTAATAAAAAAGCCATGGGTTAAAAATGCAATGTATGTCGCTTTGGATGAAAGCGTCAGGTAAATGACCTACAATGTGATGTTTGAAGGTGGACTTTGGTCAACCAAAGATGTCACAAGTAGTACCACTCGATGTGACTTTTAAAGAGCTGTGGTCACATTTAAGAAAATGACCTACATGATGTCATTATCAGCTTTGACTTGGAGGCAACAAATGCACAATCTGTGTTAAAAAAGGGGGTGTGAAAGACATTTCCTGTTAAGAAGCAACGAGGGTCTAATGAAAGAATGAAATACACCATTGAATTGCATCATGGAAAATATAGGGAACAAGGGAGGAAAAGTCACAATATCTGGAGCTCAACTGAATAGTTTATTTTACTTTTCTCTTTCACTCAGGTTCATTAAATCGTGGTAATAAGACATGTATCTAATTCCCAATTTGCTTTTAAAATAATGATTGCATTTTTTGTTAAATAACTCAATGATCAATTGCGTTTTCCACACATGATTTATTTCCGACCATTCTGGGACTCCACTGTTTTTAATACTTTCACCATCAACAGCCGATGTTGCTCCACCAATTTGTTGACCAATCAGCGTGTGGATTTTGAGGCCTCCGGCGGCCTCCCCCCCCCCCCCCCCCCCCACTCCCCCTACATACGTATACCCCCACCTAACACTCTGTTGGCTACATCATGCAAGCTCTTTCAGCTTATTCCACTGCATAAATACATAACACAGCATCCGCCACGAGGAGCGATAGAGGAGACTGCACTGTGGGACAGAACCTACAGGTCAAAATGTGGCTTCCTGCATCCCTCGGTTTGCAGGTACAACGTGCTCCTTCCGCCACGGTGCCGGAATTTCAACCAGAGTCCCCCCCCCAACAACACGGCGCTGATCATTATTCTCCGTATTGATTTCTCTCTCTCTCTCTCTCTCTCTCTCTCTCTGCGTAGATCCGGGCAGCATTTGGGTGTTTGCATGTGGGGGGTTATTTCCAGGAGAGCGGCGGGTTTGTGACAAGACAAAGGTGCGCCTTTATCTGCGGACATCATTATCCTCCGCAGTAATCTGTATGAATGAGGCGTCGACTAATAACACCTGACGTTTGGTCAATGCTCGCAAGACAGACTGCCCTCTCTGAAAAGTTCAAATAGTCAGCAAGAATGTGGGGGCCGGCGGGTGGGAGGATGTTGAGTGTGTGTTTAGTGTGTGTGTGTGTGTGTGTGTGTGTGTGTGGAGACATTTAAGCTTGTGCGTGGTTTCGGTGGGAGCTCTGCCAGAAACAGGGAGGCAGGGTTTCAGAGTTTGAGGGTTCACACGGGCTCTGGACTGAGGAAGCTCTGCTTTTCATTACATCAGCCCATATGTCCACATCGCCGCTTCGCCTGCCAAAGACTCCCAACGTCCCGGCGCTGTGATGTCGGTCTGCCTTTCTCCTAAAAGCTGGAAATGTGTGCGCGTCTGATTGTGTGGGATTAAAAAGGTTAATAACTCTGGCAGGCGCAGGGCACCGAGAAAGTGACGAGTATTTTGTGCGTTTGAACATTCGAGAGGCCGGAGAGGAGTTGAGAAGAGGCGAGGAGTGTGTGTGTGGGGGGGGAGGAGGCCCTGCCTTCTCGGCAAGAGAAAGCTGCAACTGGCTTCATATTCGCTTTAATCTTTATCTTATTTACAGTTGACAGTTAGAGAGACAAACTGGAACGGCTGGAAGAAAAAGCGAGCGTTTTCAGAAACAGCCACGCAGGAGGCCCCGTTGGTTGGTGCCGTTACCGCTAAATTACCACGAGGGGACCCTAAGCACAGAAAGCAAAGTCATCATATTTTGTGAGGACAAACACACCGTATGTCTGTTATAATTTGTTGTACACGGCGTAGAATCATGTGCATTAACGTAGTTGGCACATGAAAGCGAATAAAAGAATTGTGAAACAGTATTGTGGTTTGCTGCGAGAGAGAACATCTGCGTCTCCTTGCTTTCTTAGAGCCAACGTCCCGTATCTCGGAAAACTTCAGGGCTCTTACTTTTTGTGGGAAGCACTTGTTGTGCCTTTGAAGTGCTTTATTTTATTTTTATTTTTTTTTAATGCCACACAGGAGCCTTGTGAAATGAGGCGGTAGAAGTCAATGAATCACACCCGAAAAGGAAATAAATCACAAACTCTCTCTCTCTGAAAGCTGTGGCGATGCATGAAATACAGGCGCGAGCTCTAATCCAGCGAAGCCACCGTGTTGTTGTAAAGAAGAGCCCCCCCCCCCCCCCCAAAAAAAAAACAAAAAAACTGCGGGCCGATCCCGAGTGGCCGTTCCTTTTGTCCCGCTGCATACGTAAGGCTGGTGGGAGGATAAGTGAAGTCACATGGTCACTCTTCCTTTTTTCACCCCCCCACACACAGCAACACACCCACAGCCTCCTCCACGCAGCCGCTCTTCTCCACTTCTCCTTCATCCCGCTGCTCTCCGCTCCGCCCGGATACTGCGATACTGCGCCAGCTCCTCTCCGCTTGTTTTTTGGTGTGAGTGTGTTGTTTTCTCTTCCGCACAATGGTTTGCGAGTCGGGAGTGACGCTCTTCTGATTGTGCCGGAGCTTCGACCGAGGGGTGCTTTGTTTCAGGTAATTTCCTAAACTTTTACAGTGAGCGGTTTTCTCTCCTCGTGTTGTGTGTTTTTTTTTTCTTCAATGGAGCGTGAGAGTGGAGCTTCCTCCCGGCGCGGCTTCACCCCTCCTCCCACTTCCAGCCGCCACAACCAACTTACACACGGCGCAGTAACTTTAACTTTAACTTGTTTCTTTTCGCTTCGGTGTAGTTAACTGTTTCCGTAAAGTTGGTCCTCGCGGGACCTCCTGCAGCCATCCGCCCCTCCTCCTCCCTCCTCCTCCCCCTCTCCTCCTCCCCCTCACCCCGCGTCCAGGTACCGAGGTGCTAACCGCTACCCGGACGGGCCTTTGTTTACCGAGACACTCGCACTCCCTCACGAGTTGACCCACACCGTGTGAAGAAAGAAGACAAACGCAACAAAAAGAATAAACCCCAGTGGTTGCGTCCTGTGCGCTGTGTTGTTGAGTTGTAATTACTTTAAAAAAAACCTGCGTTATGATTAAAAGCTGCAGCGGCTCACTCGTCTCCTATTTGTTGCACTTGAACAGCTTTGGACTAACAGAGCGGCATCGATCGTGAGACACACAATGTGCAACCGGCTTTTGTCTCCATCCTCGCGATTACATGAGTCACCATCTCTCTGCTGCTAAAGCGGCCGTTGCCTTGACAGCCTGGATGTTGGAGTAAGCTGCGAGGGTCTTTTGTTGCAGATCCCAGAAGGAAGAGTAGGAAGCGAAGACATGAGCCTGGTGGACGTGAGACAGGCGGCGGGGTCCCTCACCCTGTCCCTGTCCGGCAACGACCCCAAGGAGGGCTACTGCGACCCCGAGGGCCTCCGCAGCAAGAGCATGTCGCCTGACCTGCGGCAGGACTTCAACATGATGGAGCAAAAGAAGCGGGTCACGCAGATCTTGCAGAGTCCAGTATGTAGCCCCCCCCCCCAGGCTCCGTATGAGTGCCCTCCTACACACACACACACACACACATCTTATTCTAACTAACAAACAGAGTTCTTTTCATGCACCCTGCTGTGCACTGTGGCTGTATTAAAATATTGCGTAGTCACAGTTTTCATCTTTTTAGTGTTTCAAAAAGATTAGAAGTACTAACTCATCAGTTTTGGGTTGAAGGTTGAATATAGTATCACTTTGTCGAATATACTTAACATACACAATATCTGAAACAACAAACAGCTTGATGATTACAAGATTAGCCAACACCCAATTTATATATATATATATGTTTTTATTTTCTGAAACTTAAACCGTTTACCAGTAATCAACACATTCTTTGCTCGTGGGCCGAACCGTAGAATCTTCACACATGATGCACCGCTTGAGATAATGTCTCAGAAACGCAGCCGTGCCGTCTGGTTAGATGAAGCACAAGCAGTAAACGCATGCCCATGAAGGCTCACACTCTGCGATTGCATAACAGGCCCAACAAGTGGAGCTCATCTCATCGCCATGGGAACCGTGGTTGGATGAAGCAGAATGCTGGAGCTTAGCCGCAGCACACAGGGAGGAAGAGATGTTTCGAGAGTCACAGGCTGCGCTTGAAGTCAAAAAATGAATGCAACGCCCCCCCACCCCCCCACAGCGTCCTCTCTGACTTCGACTCCACGTCAAGTCCTTTTCACAGACATACAAAGAGGTTTTCTGGTTTAATGCTGGGTTTGGTCGTGTTGGCAGTGCGGCTCGGTCCATTGAGTCTTCCTTTCTGTCTGCAGGTGTTTAAAGATGAGTTGGAAGGCCTGATCCAGGATCAGATGACGAAGGGCAACAACCCTACGGGTCTTCTGGCTCTGAGGCAGATTGCTGACCTGGTCATGGCCAGCACCTTGGGGGGGGCCGGCCCCCTCACTTCGCCCATCAGTGAGTAGCAGCGTGTTAGTGTGTGTGAATTTATCCCCCGTCATCTATCTCACTTCTGGGCCTGATTGTCATTCAGCGTGACCGCGTGTGCGTTACGCAGGCTGAATGTCTCCATCGTCAGACTCCCGTGACACAGAACAACAACCCCGAAACAGCAGAGAAGGCAGAAAGCTGTTTACGGCATTCTTCGTTGTCAGTGTTCCCGTTAAGACCGCAGCCCTCATGATCCGTCTCGATAGTGACTCAGCAGTTTGCAATGTGTATTATGTCGCCCGAACCTCCTGGTCCTGTGCGAAGGTCAAAGAGCACTCGGAACAAAGACGATGACTATCATACACTGTAAATGTTTGGGGAAAATGTCACGTTTGGAAATGTTTATGGGGTTAGCAGAGACGTAGCCGCTCTTAGAAAAGCTAAAGTGGCCGTAAAACATTGGGCCCTGGATCATTAAATGTCCTTTTATGGTGTTACAGCCCAAAAATACCCTTTGGTTTGTCGAGGGAAACTGTGAGAAACAACCCTCACTGAGCTCCAGCCGTAGGGCCTCCCTGGATTATTTTTACTTTTATATACCGAGAAGACGTTTGGGAATCAAATACTAATTCGATGTGGCGATGATGTTGTGTCTGGCGGCAGGCATCGGGATGGTGACTCCGGTCAATGACCTGTTCGGTGTCGAGTCCCCTTCCTTTGCCAAAGGGGAGAAACAGAGTCGCTGCAGACTGGCCAGCCTCTACCGGCTCGTTGACCTCTTCAGCTGGGCTCGTTTTACAAGCTCCTACAATACGGTGAGTACGACGTCTGGCCGCTCCGCTGCACATCCGCTCATCCGCGGTTTGCGTAACCTTCCGTGAACCTTAGCCTCGCGTACCCCGGCTACTGAGAGGCTTATGGGGGGAATACCGCTTCATTTTCAGAGCCCATATAGTATTTATGATTTGGAAAGGTCAGTTATGTGAGTATTAACAGCTCCCCAACAGCAAGAAAGCCAACTGAAATGTGTGATTAACACCTGCGCTGTTGAGATAGAAAGCTCAGGGTTTCCTCAAAGACATAAGCCCAGAAAGTCAATTCCATCAACCCACTCCCCAATTTTTGATTTTGTTTCACCGAAGAGAACTTTCCTGTGCCCTTGGATCCTTCAAATGGACGTCCCTTCTCAGAATAGCTCTTCCCCCATATTAAATAACTTTTTAACAGCAGAGATTTGGTCTCCTGTGGTTTTGGTGTTATTTGTCCGTGACAAGAATACATTTATGAAGCAGACACTCCTGCAGAGGCATTTTAAGGCTCAGAAAGAGACTCTCACATACATACATATACACATATAGCTTAGATCTTCCTGCCCAAGCAAAGCCAACCGTAATTACACGCTGTAACTTCACAACATTCTGGAATGTTGGTCTCAGTTCATTCATTTGAGTGCAAACTAGATTTTTGTTTTGTGTTTTAATAATATCTTCATTGTTTCTCAGGTCCGTGTCAGTAAAGAGCAGGACCACGTTCTCATTAGTCCACGAGGTCTGTCTTTCACCGAGGTCACGGCAGCAAATTTGGTAAGCACAATGCCCGTTTTGTTGTCATCTTCCAATCATGAGTGCGGACTCCTTCGAGCAAAACAAACGATCATTATGTCCCTGATATAGGAGTTTGGATTATTTGTTTTTTTCTTTACTATCATCCCATTCCATCATTACGTATCGTGAATAGAATATATGGTAAATTCATTTGGAGATAAAGGCACTTTTTGGAGATTTTAAGTATTTGTGTTGTATGGATTCATACCATAGTCAGTTATAATGATACCATTGTTTGTTTTATGTGTGTGCCCTCCGCATGATGAGGTGCATGCACACGCACATAACGGTGTTTAAACCTACCAATATATTGAGGGGGGCGCTCAAATGATGCGAAATGATGCCCCGTTCCGAAATATATTAAAAGGAATAACTGCACGATGCAAGTAATGCATCCGATGATTGGTGAGGCCTCAAGCAGCTGTTTGTTGACAAGAAACGGCCCTGTGAACCGCCTCTAACGGTTCACAGGGTTTAGAATTTCAAATGATCATCCTGTCTCACTCTGAATTAACGACTGGGTTCTCCTCTTTTCGTGCCGTGTGCAGGTAAAAGTAAACATCATTGGTGAGGTGGTGGAGCAGGGTTCCACGGATCTGGGCATCGACCTCTTCGGGTTTGCTCCTCATGCCGCCATCTACTCCATGCGCCCGGACGTGAGATGTATCATCCACATACATACCCCGGCTACAGCTGCCGTAAGTACACTCCAGGCGATATCAAATGAGCGCCATCTTAATCGAAGCATGAAAGCTGTTGCTAAATGCTCATTTGTCTAAATGCTTATTTAGCACCAGAAGAAAAGGCTGAATTAAAGCTGCCCCCTGCTACTTTGTTTAGATGCGCACACCCCGTAATGCGTTTTTACCATTTCCTTTGAAGCCAGGCTATAAAATGCCCAGCACATGATGAACATCCCAGTGTAAGGTTTTATTTGTGCCTGATAGCTAAAAATGTGCTTCTATTTATATGTTGGTGCGTCAGAGTCTGACTTGCTCTTATCCCATGCTAACAGGTGTCCTCGATGAAATGTGGAATCCTGCCCATTTCCCGGGAGGCTTTGCTTCTAGGAGACGTGAGCTGCTGCGGTTACCATGGCAGCCTGGATAATAAAGAGGAGAAGGTGGAGTTTCAGAAGGCTCTGGGCCCTACTGCCAAGGTACTGTCAAACCAAGGGACTCCCATTACTGACAGGCTGACTTTCTCGTGTGGTAGAAGGCTTTCAACTCCTCGTTGGAAGGAACGGCCTATTATATTATACCGCGCGCACAACTGAAACGGATGTGGCGTCTCTCACAAACTTTGCATCGCAACCATGAACCTTTTGTCTCATTTACTTAACAATTACATAAAGGTAAAGACGTAGAAGCGCCTTTTAGTTGGAGGGTTTCGCATTTTGCAAATGAAATAGTTTGATTTGATACAACTCCCATATTTGCCTGCAAAGTCAGGAGCTGATTAGCTCAGCATGAAGACTGGGAGATGGGGAGGGCAGCCAGATGCAGAGATTGTGTCGTGACATTGATTAACGTAATTAATAGGTTAGTATATTCGCCTGCTTCAGTGTTTAACATGTCGTTGGGATTACGGTGGGCCACTGGCTCAAGTGTTCCTCGTGTGTCCTGTAGGTGATGATCCTGAGGAACCACGGGCTGCTCGCTTTGGGAGAAACCGTAGAAGAGGCTTTTCACTACGTGTACCACTCACAGCAAGCGTGTGAAATCCAGGTATAAAAAAAGTTGCATATTGTTATTCTTCAGGCTTCCTCTTCCTGGTAATGACTTCTTATCTTGACCGAAACAACTTCTGAATTTAAATGTGGCCTGGATACACTTCTTTCACAGTTATAAGCGTTTAAATCACCTTTCCATTGCTGTTGCCAGCCTCTGTCACATTCCCCCTTTTGCGATCCTTTTCATTTCTTCTACACCCGAGTCAGACCTGGTTGCCAATAGCAGAGAAATGCTGCGAGGCCTGAAATAAAAAGCGACGCCAACGTCTTAACGTACAGAGTGTTTGAACAGAGTCAAATATGTGACAGGGAGCGCTGCTTAGACTCAGAGGCAGGTGGAACCCTGCCGCGCCTCGGAGAAACCAAACGCCGTTCTGTCGGCAGGGCAGGCGGGTTGTGTTTCCATCACCCCGGTGCGTCCAGTGTGTTTTTCCTATTGAAAGCCCATACGTCTTATGATTAAATGTCTTCAAAAAGAAATAGAAAGATCCTCTTGTGTCTTAGAATGACGTTCTCTTCTTTTAGGTGAACGCTCTGGGGTGTTGTGGCGGCGTGGACAACCTCCTGCTCCTGGACCGAGAGAAGTTTAAACCCCCGACTCGGGGAGTGGCCGCCGCCGGGTCGGTGCTGGACAATGAGGTCAAGTGGAAAGTGGGCGAGGCCGAGCTCGAGTCCCTGATGAGGATGCTGGACAACCTGGTGAGCGAACCTCTGACCCTGTGCCTTTTACCCATGATGCTTTGAGTTTCCTGCGTAAGGCCCTTCCTCAGGAAGTGTCTGATTGGGGCTCACAATGAAGCCAGAGATCTGTTTGTGAATCTGAATCTGTAATTGGATCAGTGCTTGAAGTCAATTTTTCATAATTGCTGTTAGAACAGCGCCTGGTGCAAATGGCGGCTTAGTCGTAGTATCATTATCCATTTTACATTTTCCAAATGGGATGCGTTCAAAAAGTGTCCAACCAATGATAGACTAAAACATGTCATTCTACAGGTTAAAGCTTTCGCTGCAGCGCTTCCCTTTGGTCGATTCACACCCCTGCAAGCCCACAGCACTGCTAATGACAAAGCCCTGGCATGTCTTGTGTCCACATAACATGTCCGACCGTCTGTTAAAGCCCGCGCCTCGCCGACATCTGTGGCCGGAGTGGGCTGCAGCTGTGTTAGCTCTGTGTGATCACAGCCCACCCACCCCTTCACATCATAGCTTCCAGATGGCGAGGCCCGCTGTGGGCAGTCACATCCACAGAGACCACACGACCGCTTGGTGTCATCACTCTAGTGTACGCAACTCGGGGAAGTAGGAATCCGACGCCGGGTGCGAAGCGGCAGTGCTGGTCGGTCTGTCTGTCCGGGTCCTTGTGTTTCCCCCAATCTGAGCTACCTGAAAGGGTAGTTACAGGTGCCGACCGTGGCTCATATCCTAAATCAAGGGCTTCTAATAACTACACTGTGGGGTGATAGTCAACAATACTGTAAATAAATGATGGCGTGCTCACATTGTGGCAATCAAAGGCTAAAGCGGGGATTTTCTTTGGCGGCAAACTTGTCATATTGCCTGCGAGAAAAAGGCGATTTTGATTGTGATTGTACTGCGGCGCTGCCAGCTTCACACTGCACTCTGCACCCGCTGCGGGCTCCCATCGCTTTTCCAGTTGTCTCACTCGTCTTTGATGTATTGTTAACAGCACACTGCTTTTAAACAAAAGTTTTATTTTATCCTTTTGAATCTACAAAAACGCGTTTTGCTTAAATATTCAGAAGCCTTGTTGGAGTGGTGGCCTCTGTGTCCTTTGAATTTGGTATCCCTTGGATTTGATATTTCTTATTTGATGGATGTAATCTGGACACATTGCAAACAATTGCAACTCGAGAAAAGGGCCATGATCCAGTATTTCAGTCTTACGAATCCTCTCTGTGCGACCTTCTAGGGATACAGAACAGGCTACACTTACAGACACCCCATCGTCCGCGAAAAGCCCCGCAGCACCAACGACGTGGAGATCCCTGCCACGGTGTCCGCCGTGTCACCGGAGGACGGCGAGCTGGGTCTGCGAAGCCCCTTCAAGTTCATGGCGCAGAAGCAGCAAAGAGAAAGGACCCGGTGGCTCAACTCCCCCAACAGCTACTTGAGGGTCAATGTTCCCGAACATTCGCCCAGTGGGGAGGTCAGCCCCCGGACCAAGACCACGGTGCGTTGATTTTCATGTCGACCCGTGACAGGGAAGTTAGTAATAATCCAGCCCTCTGGGGTTTGGTGAGGAGGGAGCAGCCGTCCCTTGGTGTTAGCCTGCCCTCTTGTGGTCAGTTTGAGAAATACAACTTCATCCGATTTGAGTTCTTTCCCCAACTTTCTATCTGTTCTTTTTCCCAGTGGATGAAGTCTTTGGAGCCAGGCAATAGCATCGGCACACCCATAAAGATTGAGGACCCCAACCAGTTTGTCCCGCTCAACACTGATCCCACGGAGGTCGTGGATAAGAGGAAGCGGGTCAGTGAGAAACTACCACATTTTTCACACAGCGGTCATGTTAGAAGGAATTCTAATTGTCTGCATTGTATCCAGGCGCGTGCACAGACATTTTAAATAAATAAATAGTTAAATAAATAGTTTAAAAACACAGTAGAATATTTTCAGCTTATATTTTTTTTTGTTAACAAACTAACTCAATTAAACTAAATTATCAAATTGAATAAATAAATGAATATCTGGCAAAAACAGACATGGCCATATTGTATAACCAGATAATATGGTAAATCATCAAAAAATATTGTACCTTGCTCTGAATAAATTAAAGGAGAGCATCCTCCTTGGTGCCATTTCTTGGAAGATTATTTTATAGTTGAAGCATAAGCAGCATTATACTAATAATATACCACAATATACCTCACCAGACATGTAGCTCAACTTAAGACCTACCTTTCCTTTCGAAAATTGTATACTAAACAAAACTAGTGAATGGGTCTAATTTGTTGAATGATAAATGATCATAAATGATCTGCCGGTCTGTCTGCCTTTATGTCTCTCTTCATTAAACATGACAAACGTCAGTCAACAGCTGGGTTAAATAATCACTAAACAACGTCGGGGGGGGGGATTCCACGAACACCGTCATCACCTGTTTGCCTGATACTGCAGCCGTATCCAGCAGAAGGGGCACTTTTCTCATCCAGGGCAAAAGGGGCAGGTGCTTGAGCACCACTAGGACCCTGTCTGTGCACGTGCCTGATTGTATCTTTATTATAGCAGCTATTTCAAAAAGGTACATTCATTTTAACTCCAAGTACTCCGTGCATTTTACTCTCAGTGATAAATGCCATGGAAATAGGTACACAATTTGAATTTGATAAACTGATGCCAGCTATGCTGGGACTGACAATTAATTTCTTTATCAATTCATTTGCCATCCATTTTCTCCATTATTTGTTTTGTCCGAAGCCAAAGTTATTGTTACTATATTGCTTGTAGTATTCAGCAGAAAGTCAAACAACCCTACATAATCAGGCCTACTGTCATTTATAGCAAAGAATGAAATCAACTCCCTACATTTGAGGAGTTGGAACAAGCAAAACTAGTATTAGTAGACTAATCAATACAGCTCTACTGACATGAATCTTTTAATTAGCAATAATAATGAATTCTGACACATATTGGATGTGTAATCCCAAATATTTAATATGATTTTGTTGCTTATTTTTGATCAGATTAAAGAACAGCACAGAGGTGACCTGATGACTGCTGGACCAAAATCCCAGCTGCTATCTGGCATCGTCGTGGACACCATAAAAGGCCCAGTGAGTATATTTACCATCTGTAAAACAAAGGTGCAAAGTCCCTGGTGCGGCAACACTGCATCATGCAGCGTGTTTGGTCTTTGTCGTGGCAATTGCCTTCTTTAGTGTGCAATAGTCCTTCTGTTTCATTGTTGAGTCCTTTTAAATGTGAATCTATAACGAGCTGCCAATGTTACCTGTGAGCAATTACTTCTATTCCCTGAAAATCTCATTACACCAAGTGTCCATAATGTCCCTTCATTCTCTCCTGTCAATCAGGCTTTCATCATTGAGGACGAGGAGCAGACTCGCTCCCTCCCCCCGAACCCTTTCAATGAGCTCACGGAGAGAGTGCTGGAGGAATACAAGAGCTTGGTAGAACGAAAGCAGCAAGGCCAAGAAGGTAGTCACACGCTTTCTTTACTAATCCCACACGTTTGAGTGCTCGGTTGCTGTTAAGACGCTCAGAAAACCTCAACTTAATTTAAATCCTACTCGGGTTTACACAAGCTCAAATGTGACATCATCCCATGCAGGTTATGGGCGTGTGACATTTTGAAGATGATCCCTGAAGCTCACAGAGGTCATGAAATTGAAATGGAGAGACGAAGCTTATCTCAAAGTTTATCCGCAATCTCTGACTTCACCAAGCGAAATAAGTTCTAAACTTTAGTGCCTGTTTAAAGTATTTTTTAAAAAATGATTTAGAAAGTTAATGCGTGGATCGCAATGACAACGTCTTGATGATTATTGGGTGTAACGATAATATTGGAGCTGTATATTTTTCAAATGGCGGCTGTGTCTAGCCTGTGGCTCGTGTAGTTAACTAGTCCTGTCAGAGGGCTCGGCTCCGGCCTGCAGGAAATGTTTCAACCACGGACACTCAAATGAGGGTATTCCTGCAAAAACGCCCGCGGGAAGAAGATTTGTCGGTCCGCGGCTTCATTTTTCCTCTCGGCTATGATGTCAGCCCATCGGATCGGTCAGAGATGAGCTGCAGACGTTGGTCTTCTCAAAGCAATTTGTGTGTTGGTTGTGACTGCAGACAGGAAACCGCCTCATCAGTCATGTTTAATATTCTATACGCTGTGACTTTGGATAATGCAGCAATGCCAATAAGCCTCCGACGACTGTTACCCTTTCACAGAAGACGGCGATGCCACGGACGCAGATGAGATGACCACATTTGACGGCTCCACCATCTCCCTTTCCCTCTCTCCCTTAATGACACCAACCAAACAAGGTAATTAGCTGGTCAATAGCCGCTGAAATTCTAATGATTTCAAATGGCCAGCAGCAGCTGTTTGGTTCTGTGTTTCTCATCCATCCGGTGTAATCTGTAGAAATCTGCATCCTCGTTTTGACAGACACAATACTCAATGGGAAAGACCACTTGGACGAGACGGACGAGGACCTGAGCATCGAGGTGTCCAAGCTGAGCCTGAGCACTTCGGAGACGGTCGACATCTCGATCACGTCCAACGAGAAGACGCCCGAGAGCCAGACCAAGTCGCCGGTGAAGAAGAAGAAGAAGTTCCGCGCACCTTCCTTCTTGAAAAAGAGCAAGAAGAAGAAGGACGAGAAAGAAAAAAACGAGGCCTGAGGTCATTCACTGTAAAAGAAGAAGGAAAAAAAAGAAAACAGGTGTGTTTTGCCGTGAAGACGTCTGCGTCGCTTTCTTAATTTCAATCTCGTTGAAAGGAAGTGAAGTACAGAAAAGACATTTAGTCAGAAAGCCTCCCGGGACCGGGTTGTTTTTAAAGCCTTCTCTCATTCACAGCCATTAATTCCTGTGAAAGTTTTTCCAAGACGTGCCAGCAAAAAGTAATACGGAAGTTTCTTCCACGTGAGAATTTGTGATTGACCACTCCCAAAGGGCTCAGCATAATCAAATCGAATGGAGGGGGAACGCCAAACTGCATCTCTGTGGTTATTACCCATATTTTAATGGGATTCAAAGGTTAGGAAAAAATCTGATTGTGTTCTTGTGTTTTTTCTTCTTTTTTTTCTTCCTTTTGCACAAGTTCACTGTTGAATGTATACTGAAAGCTAGGAATTTCTTTTGTATAACTCTTAAACTTAACAATCACACTAGTTGTGTGTGTGACAGTGACTGAACATAGTAACATTATACAGCGTATGCCTTTAGTCGCAAGAAGTACGAACACATTCATAGCTATACTACCTTGTAATAATATATGTTGGTTTATATTTTAGGTATTACAATATAGTGTTTGGTAGTTAAAGGAATGATTTGACAGTCTTTACTTATATACTAACTCTTATACTAAACATGCTGTGACGGATAATTCAGTAATAATTCACAGCATTTTTTTTATGTTTTTGTCGGTGGTATTGTTGCCATGGTTGCTGCTTTATTGTAATAGTGACCAGGAATCGACTGTGACTAACAGGAAGAGCCCTGCTATGTGAGTATCCTGGCATATTGGTGTTTACGAGCGACACGAGTTTGACGTGTGCAGAAGTGACGTCCGGACAAAGGAAGTGCCGGTGGCTCAATCGCAGACGCGTTGAGAAAGTGATCGATGTTTTGACTCATTTTCGTCAGTTGGTGGCAACGCGGTGTCGGAAAGCTCTTCTTCACAGCCGCTGTTAGACTTTGACATGAAGTAGAGGACCATGCGTATATATATATTAACATCCCAGTCTATAATGTGAACGATTTGTTTTGGCCCGAAGGGAGCGAACTCTTTGCCTTTTGTAAATAGTCTGTTTTTGTGAAGTTCTTTTGTGCTCGACATTAGTCACCGGTCTTTTGAAAGGTGTAATAAAATCTATGTTTCTGTAACGGGTTTTAATGTTCTTTCGCTTATTGAGTAAAAAGCATGCAACGTTATCCGTATCCCTGATCCTATACTCAAACACAGTTACTTATGCATTTATTTCAGCCTGGTGTGGTGTGAAACTGGAGCTAAATGTCCCGTATAAAGCTTTGTAGGAAACGCTAACCCTAACCCACAGCCCCCCCCCCCCCTTTCTCTGAAGGAGCAGCGCCCCCCCCTCCCTAAAACAATGCGCTCTGTTCAGCCATAATTGACCGTGTGAGGCTGTGTAATCAGTCTTCAGCCATGATATGAATGGCCGTTGTCATGGCAACGCACTGAGGGAACTGTGGAGACAAAGAGGGGATTTGGTGTCTCCAACAGGTGTTCATGTTGGGGGAGTGACAGTATCACCCCCCCCCCCCCCCCCCCCCCCCCCACAAAAAAAACCCCACCTCCAAGCAGACGACAAGAGGATCAGGTCAAAGGGTCGTGCATTTAAATCGACATTTAAAAATGTGCAACATTGAGAAAATATTACAATTATTATGAAGTAAGACGCACTTGTGACTCTGAGGGTAACACAACGCCCCACTTATTCTCGTGGAAATGGCTCTAAAAGTTGTGAACGATGCCTTTCAGTGCGAGGAAGAAAAAGCTTAGCGCTGAGCTCTCCCGTGTTCCGCCGGTGCCGAGGAGAGGAGGGGAGAGAAGGGGAGAGAAGGGGAGAGGAGAGGAGAGGAGAGGAGAGGAGGGGAGAGAAGGGGAGAGGAGGGGAGAGAAGGGGAGAGGAGAGGAGAGGAGGGGAGAGAAGGGAGAGGAGAGGAGAGGAGGGGAGAGGAGACGAGAGGAGAGGAGAGGAGGGAGCAGGTGACATACGTCTGGCCTGCCGGAGTGTCCTTAAGCTGTGACCTCGGGGCAAAGTGCACCCATTGTCCTTTTAAACAACGCGGAGTGAGGTGGGAGGGGGGGTCTGCCGCTGCACCACGAGGCTCCTCCACCCGAGACCGTCCTCTCGGAGAACGCCACCACGTCCCCCAAAGCCTTGTGCACCGCACGCCGCCGCGAGACCACCGAGGGACGTCTGTCACATTCTTTGATGAAACACACGGCAGCCCTGTGTGACTTTGCCTCCTCTGTGACAACCGAGCCGCTGGTTGTAATCCTCAGGCTTTTCAGATTACTCCCCGTTGGGGGGGGGTCACATTCTACACCGACCTACAGCGGGTCCGCGCTGCTCGAGCCTTCTGCCCCTTTGACACACGGGTAGCAGCCCGATACGACGATTCCCAGAGGTTCACGTTTGCATACCGGCCGTGAACATTGTAGGGGAAAACAATAGCCTTTACAGAATTGGAGGGAGTGGAGGGGGGGCGGGGGGGGGGGTGGTATTCCAAACACAGGCCTTATTGAGTTTGTAAGAGCATCACATCTTTTCCACAAACTGTGCCTGCTTTGGCAACCGAAGAGTGCGTCTCTGTTCCAGTATTGTGATCAGGACCGTCTGTGTGCATCGGGCCTCGCCAGGCAGCTGAAGTAGACTCCATGGGAGGGTGTGCTCTCTCTCTCTCTCTCCCGCTCTCCCTCTCTTTCTCTCCCTCTGTGTGTGTGTGTGTGTGTGTGTGTCACAGGCCCGGCCACATCTGCAGCGGGTCCAGCCATCTGCACCCATTGTCTGGGAGGCGCACAACGCGGCCCCGCACGCATGGCTGGGCCTCGTAGATGCAGGGCCCTGCGCCTCGGGCCCTCATCCGTCCTTCACGGTGACGGAGGATGGAAAAGCAAGCGTGAAAGTCGACTCAATGAACTTTAACGACGAGGAGAGTGGTGGTTACTTCCACTATCAGGTACATGAACTGAAGCCACCTGCAGCCGATGGCTCATTCCGACATGAAGCGTGATCTCTCTGCTGGATTACTTGTAATTTCTATGTGAGAACTACGCAATACACCCGGAGAGACAGATGGACCTGCATGAACATTCAAACTACACCCGGATCAATGTGGCAGAAAACACCTGAAAAACACTCAGAACTTCTGGGACAAAACAAATATACCCCCCCCACGTTCAAACCCAACGGGGTCATTTCACTATTCGGTTCGGTTTGTCAGGTGACACGAAGCACTAAAGGCAAGCGGGCATCGCGCGCGCAGCATGGATAATATCACGGCGAGGTTTCTGACAATGAGCGCGCGCGCGTCAGTGGGAGGGATTATCCGGCAAGTAGGGCAAGTGGCTGAGGACGGCGAGTCCACCGGGCCGGCGGCTTCATTCCCCAGTGCGCAGACGGGACGAGGAGAGCGACTCAACCGCTCACCACCTCTCCTCCTGCTCCACCTCCTCCTCCCCCCTCCCCCCATCACAAAAACATCCTAAAGTGAACATGGTGAGGTGCACGCGACGGCGCAGCGAGCTGAGAGCCGTGGAGCTTCCGTCGGGAGTCTGACGCGCCGGCGACGTTTTCGGAGAACCGTCCGACTTTTGTTCCTCCGGCGACGGTTTTTTTCCGTCTCCAAATGTTCCGCAATGGACCGGATCGGCACTTTCACGAAGACCGTGCAAGTGCTGCTCGACGCGGCGAATTACCTGGAAAATGTGGAGAAGAGCTACGGAAGTAAGTAACACAGCGGGCAGCAGCAGAATGGGGGGGGGGTTGTTAACGCGTAATGCGCCGAGCAGACAACAATAGAGGCGAAGGCGACAAAAGACGCGCAGCGGACAGATGAGCTGCGCCCCCCCCCTCCCCCCCGACCGAAGCCAACGGTGTTTCACCTGCTAACTGGAAAGAAACAATAGTGGACTTTCGTCCACTTTACGCGTCTAAGATGTCATCAGTTCAAAGGAGAAGAAAGAAACAAATTGCATCGCCAGGAAAAAGCTGACGCTGCAGCGACAGCCTTCAGCTGCACGCTCTGCTCCCATTAACACGGACTTCTTCTTGGGGGGGTAGTAAGCATGATTACTTAGTTATATACTGGAAATAGTCTTGTATATGTAGAGCATGTCGGTTGGCTCATGTTGCCTAGATATTTGTAATGTTTGAACATCCCAATTTCCAATTGTTTCAAACGTAGCTCCTTTTGTTTTTGCTTCTGGAATTAAAGTATCGTATTATCTCACAAACATCACGGCCTTGCACTAATAAACTGCGATTTGCAGTTTATTTCCTCTTTATTTCCATTTGTTCTTTGCAGAAGCAGCTGCTGCTTCCTTCTGTGTGTCGTTCACATGGTTTCCACATGGAACAAATTGTAAAGTTTTCATTGGTCGGGACACATGTTCCCAGCGCAGGAGTCACGTCAGACAGCCAATCACACGCCGGCTGCGCATGACGTCACATGTTACTTGGAAGGGGGCTCATGGGAAATGTTGGCGATTTTAAGCAACCATAAGAAAACTACACTGTATTCTACTTTTATGAAGAAATAATATATGCGCGCACTGATATTAACCTTTTTTTAAGAAGGGTTATATTTATATTAAACTGAAATGTTCATATTTTAGTTTAATTAATTTTAGTTGCCTCTGCACACGCATTACGATGCCATTTGGGATTCAGGTCCAAACAATGTCACTGCCATCATGGAAAGCTAAACCCACGCGAAGCCTTCTGCCTGTAGCATATTTGTAGAGAATGTATGATATTTTTTAATCCTCCTGCTCATTTCCATTACCAGAGTGTGAGCATGGTTATGCTTCCACATACCCAGAAACCCAGACTGCACCACAGCTGAAACAGCGTAAATCCAAGAACAGGAAATCGGACAATATTCATAATAGGTAGGTTAATGTCTCACAAAAGGTCCTCAAATTAGGCCTAATATAATTTATATGAAAGTGATGTTGTTTTTATTGATATAAGGAATAACAACATCCTGATAAACTCAACTAATCATTCTAAACATCATATTATCATTTGCATGCATGATGGTGTGGTATGATGTTGCCAAAATTGCAGCCATTGGATTTGGTTTGTCGATATAGATTATGAAATATGTTGTATTCTGCATCACTAAAGCTTGTATAACACTTTTGTTTATATATTTATGATTTCAACAGGTCAGCACACAATGAACTGGAAAAAAATAGGTGAGAACAACTAAATTGAAGAAGTCAATTTTATGCATGTTCATGAAAAAAAGTGATGTGAACAATTCACTAAGGAGACATGAAACAGGAACCCAATGAAAACAGTACAATGCTGTGACTGGTTAGTCATGTTGAATTGTCATCATACTTCAATTGACTACTGTCATGAAAAAGTGATTTCATACAGAAGAAGGAGAAAAGACATTTTTAGCTCGTGAAGTAAATGAGACATTTTATCTCAGAAGCAAGCCGCAACTAAATGGAGCTTCAAGCTGATAAACTACCAGCGTGCCATGTTTGCATATTTTACTGTGCGTACCATTTCAACACGAGATGCACAGCAGGCCTGTAAATCCCCGCATGATCATCACAGAACTTCAACAAAAAAATTGGAGTGTATGAATGCAAGTGTGCAATTTTGCAAGGCAACTAAAAGGGGAGGTGCAATGCGGCGCCTCTGTGGCGGCACTGTTCCTGGAGGACATGCAGACATCTCCCCAGTCAGCAAATGGGAAAACGTCTGTTTCCAGACAACAAGGCTCCTTCCTCAGAGTCTCAGCTGCAAATTTACCGGCGGCTCGCTGTGCTGCGGGTACAGGATAAGGCAGCCAGTGCTCTGAGCAGGACACACATTCATCCGAAAATGAAATGCTCAGTTACTCCTCGAAAAGGGAGCCGTGTGCGTCTCGGGTGGAGAGATGCACCGGGGCGGGGGGGGACGAGTAAACATGCCACCTTCAAGGCCAAGGCTTATTTTTGTATCACAAAATGGTGGCCGATGCAGAGCGAAGAGATGACATCACAACGTGACCTACATTTTTCTACATTACGAGTGTCCTTTGCCAGTTTCTGCATTTGGTCGGCATCCTCGGGCCCACAGGCTTCGCTGGATCAGAAACAGGACAGTTTTCAAATTTTAGATCCGTACGTAATTGCAAAAAAGTCAGATTGAGCGTGGTTGATTAGCGAAAATGGATAAACAAATAAATCCAGTGCGTAAATGTATATTATGACTGTTACATTGCTCATCACACGTGGATTAAATAGAATTGATCAAGACCAAACAAATGGCTGATCGGCTGCTCTGCTAATCACATTGGGTAAGGAGTAGATATCACGACCTCACTTAATCACCATCGGTTTAGAGGACAATTATACATTTGTCTGGAAACTCCTCGTTTTGTCATGAATAATTGTCACATAATGCCCATTAGTCCATGCGAGAAAAATGACCCGTCTTGATTACGTCTCCCCCCCCCCCCCCCCCCCTCCCCCCTGCAGACGAGCACATCTCCGCCTGTGCTTGGAGAGGTTGAAGTCCCTCATCCCTCTGGGGCCGGACTGCAGTCGGCACACCACACTGGGACTGCTGAACAAGGCCAAAGCACATATCAAGGTGTGGTAGCCCCCCCGTGGTGTTGTACTACCAGGGGAGGGCGGAATTCTGTACATTTGTGTGCTCGAAAGTAAAAGTATCAGAGGATTTACGAACTGATCCCCTCGCTTCATTATGATCGTCTTGAGTAAATAACAGTTGACTGCAGGATGATACAATGCAGTTTTTTCAATTTTTTAGAACATTGTATTTTGGTCTTTTATCGCTCTTGGTGTTCTGGAGGTACATTGTTCTCAGTTGCATCACGAGTATAAAGGGTAAGAAAGCAAACACATCAGTGAACGGCAAACGGACACTATATTGGAACTAAAGTCACGTTACACGTGGTTAAATGAGATGTTGACTATGTACAGCAATAGAGAAGTTAGGTGTTCTACAGGTGGTCATTAGCTAAACTATGAACTATTAAAAAGTCACTATGGACTCAGCAGCAGGGGAATATTGTTGCTGCTTGTTTATTTCATACAAATCTCCCTCCAGCGGGAGCCGAGACCTCCCTTTTCCAGGATTCCGAGCCTTTCATGTGACTTTCCCATTACAGGAGAATGTGAATAGAAACACTGACTCGATTCATCTTAAGACCACCAGATCAGTCGTAGTGTTTGAGCTGAGTGTGTCCGGACTGCACCAGCGGCCCAGGAGCCTCGAAGCATCCAGGACTGCACTTTGGCTCCCCCGGGGGGCCACAGTCTCAGCCAGATACAATTTTCGGGCTGGTGCAAATATTGGATTTTCTTGTGTCCAGCTTGTGGAGGAAAAGAGTCAGGAAAAATTGAGAGCACTCCTGGAAACAGTGTGTGGGAGGTTATCACAGCGGGGGGATAAAGTACCTACTGTGTGTTGTCCACCGTTGACTTTGGACCGGCCGGTTTAAAGTCCAGGAAACGTGGGCCCTCAATGCCTCTGTGTTGTATTTCTGCAACCGGAGGTGAGAGGAGAAAGGCAGAGCAGGAGCAGGAGCAGGCAGCAAAAACCAAAAGAATAAACTCTGTATTGTGCGCCTGGAAAAGATCCCCATATGGTACCGGGTTCAACCTACCTGGCTGACTGCAGTGAGAGAAAAGAGCTCTTCATCTGATTTAATTTAGCATTTGGCATTTGTGAAAAACGCTGTCTTTTTTCAATTTATTTTATAATCTAAATATCAAAATGAAACATTTATATTACCCATGAAGCAACTCTACCTTTTGCTTCCAGTCATATTTCACTTATATTCACCACACACAAAGACACCAGCTACTCCTCCAGAATCCAACCAGTCAGGAGGGAAGTTCACCATCCTCTCGCGCAGGCAGTGTGTTAATCATGAGGAAGATCAATGCTACGTTATTCGTGCCATCTCCACACACACACACACACACACACACACACTGATCTGCTCGATGATTTTTACAGAACAAAACAATAAACCATTTCTTCTTCTTCTCATCCAGAAACTTGAAGAGCTGGACCGGAGGAGCCTCCACCAGCTGGAGACCTTGGAGAGGGAACAGCGGCACCTGCAGAGGCAGCTCTCCCAGCTGCAGACCCATGGAGACAGGGAGAGGGTCTGCACGGACAGCCAGGGGTCCCACGTGGACTCGGGGTCGGACAGAGGTCAGTGTCCCGAATCAGAGCTTTCCGCCAAGGGCAAAACCGTGCAGCATCACGTACACTAAGGCAAGCAAAACATCTGTGTTCATTTGCTTTCTGTGTGTGTGTGTTTTTTTTCATGTGCAGAGGAGATTGAAATTGACGTAGAAAGCACTGAGTTCTCCCACGGAGAGATGGACAGCGTGAGCACCAGCGGTACGAGTGACCTGGATGACCTCAGCAGCCAGCAGAGCTCGGCCAGTGACGAGGGCTACTCCACCTGCAGCGTGAAACTGGCCTTCTCCGCCTGAAGCACCAGCCGCCACGTTCCTCTGCGGCCCTCAGCAGTACCGGCCGGCCGCTCCATTCTCCCTCTGCAAGTTTATGTTAACGGGGCCTTTGTAGGAACAGGCAGGCAGCCCCCCCCCCCCCCCCCCCCTCCTTCTCCCTCCCCCCGAGAACCAGCCTTAACTTCATCACTCCTTCCAGAAGCAGCCTCAAATTGAACTTCTCTGGCAACATACAGTTTTGTCCTTTCTCACCTGAAAGTCCCTTAAGCCCATTACCAGCTTGAATCAGCCCTAGCTGCACTCGCCAGTGACCCCAGAGGAGCCACGCACCAGTGTCCAACACTGACACCAGCAAATACACTAAAAACCCAATACCAGCTAGAAGCTCTCCATGGTGGCTGTTTGCTCCATTGGCCTTGTAATAACATTGGCCCCCTTTTTTTTGTCTGGATAATATGTCCAGATGGCACTTGTTGACAGTGTACAAAGCCAGTGACAAGGGCTGCAATGTCTGTGATTCCGAAATGTTCATTACACTCCTAGACCCTCGGCTTTAAGACTGACACACGTCACCAATCCAAGTCACTGAAAATAGTCGTATCCCAAACAGGTGGCGCAGTCCAACCTTGTTATTCTAATTTATTTTGTGTATGATTATAGTATTTATTTTTGGTCTAATTCATTTTAATGTAGCCAAGTATTTCGTCATGCTTGAAAAAAAACACTTAAGTTTTCTTCATAATCTTCTAAAGAAATAGTTTACCAAATTACTTGACATGAAATTTACCCAAATGGTGCATTTGCAGCGCCGAAAGTTTGAAAGCATTACGTCAGATTTTGTTGAAAGAATGAAATCTCTTTCATTTCTTGCTGTGCACAAATTCAATTTGATTTAGACAGTATGAGCTGTCGCGCACAGGCTGGAAGCAATAAAGCTTCTGCTTCTATCACAGCTGTAGCGTTGGCTCTTTCCACACTATTCCGACACCAAATTGCAGTTTGTTTCCCACTTGCCCCGGTAGTCACATACCAATACTCAGTAGGCAAAATGATTGTAATTGATTTAAAAAGAATAAGCTACCGTATTTATCCTTTTGTATGGATAGACAAATCTTAAGGTCGGGAGCACTACAGAAAATTTTGATTTATACTTGCAATGTTTAATACTGTAGTGTTTATGCAGTGTAGCATACAAACAACTACCCATTAACAATTATATGTATTTTGGACTGCTGACCTTTTAGAATCAATGAAACCAAATAAGACATTTGTAATACGAGACTGGTCCAAGTCCTAAGATCACCACCAAATTGTGTCTTAACATGAGCGTATGACTCTTGCACAAAGTTCCTTGTTACCCCCCCCCACTCCCCGAATCTATAAAATGCACTATGAAAAAGACTTGTTAAGGAAGTATGTCAAAGCACACCCCCAGAAAGTTTCTCTTGTGCTAATTCAGCCCGCCAAGGTGACTTTTTTTTTTGCAAAACATGCTGCTGGTCCCCTGCTAGTATCCATGTACACTTCCTGATAACTGCCCCAACAATCCTAATAAACCTCTACCGCCCAGACAATGTCTCTTTTTTTGGCGTATGTCTACCACGATTAACACATTTCCAACTTCACGGTCGTGTTTTAGACAGACGAGTATTACATAAATGAATCCTGCATTTAGCCGTCAGTGTTCATGAAGCGAAACAAAAGACGCTTCAGACTCGTGTGGCAAAGGGGGGTTGGGGGGGTATTAACAGACATGATTCATTAATATTATTACAAGTCTTTACTGCCACCTACTGGATGGGACAACAGTGAAATGATCATGTAAAAACTGTCAAAACGAGGTGGAGGCAATAATTGCAAAAAAAAAAGGAAAGAAAACAAAACCATGTTTATTTCACTGTTATATACACATTTTAAAAACAAAAAATTCCGGCATGTCAACTCAACGCCATGATTGACATTAAGACTTCCCCCCCACAATGGGCGAATGTTTAAAACCAAATCTGTTGGTGTATATCTAGTCTTCTCTTAGCAGGTATTTGGCCTCAGTGGAGCCTGGACGCACACGTCACTCTACAACACCACGGTCTGTCCTTGTGTAGCCGGCCGCATCGTTCCAACCCCCCCCGTTTGGATTTTCTGTTGTTGTACCTACATAATATATAAGAAAAACTACATCGAAATTACAAACAATGGCGCGCAAGCAATTCCATTCTTTACTTGGGAAACATAAATCTTGTAGAAACACAATGGAAATGCACCGATACATGTTGTACACAGTGATTATTTTACACAGGAAATATCAGGTCATTGTGGCATTAGATGTCTGACGTTGTATTTCGACGTGTCGTGGTACTGGGTCATTGGCTTGTCCGCGATGCCACACGTTCCCACTCCCACCTTCCCATTGACGCTTTCTGGAGATGCAAATATGCTCCTCTTAACCTAAAAACAAACAACATTAGTCATTATTGACTATATATATACATACCACTTTTAATTTATAAAATACACATACAATTACAAAAACTATATTCGCGCAACTAGGATGAGCTAGTGGGGGAAATTGCTCAAATCTTTCTGATGTAAACATTTAGATGATCTTTAAATCAAATTTCTTATATTGATTTAAAGTTAAAATTGACGGATTATAAATTTTGATAATAAGACGGTAAAAGGAAGGAGAAATTACCTGTCCTTTCTTGTTCTTTGAGTAGGCTTTGTTGTTGAACGTTTGCCACTTGGACTTTTGTTCTTCCCTCTCTTGCTCCAATTCCTTCATTCTCAGAACCTTCTTCTGGGCTTTCTTCTTCTTATACTCTCTTTGCTCTGCGATCTGCTCTTTCCTACAGAGACGAGGAAGAGAAACAGATTTAATCCCTTACAACTGTATTATTATTACTGTATAGACTAAAACATTGTATATTAACCCCCCCCCCCAAAAAAAAAACAGTGACTAATTAGAGTAACTGGAGGCATGAGTACAGTCCAATGTGAATCCCTATAGCTACCGTAAATGTGTAATAAGCAGGATGAACACAAATGTTTATGAGTTTAGTTTTTTACCTTGATTTGGGCTTTAGACTGCCATCCTCATTGGAACGTTTCCCCTCCTCTACTTCCTTGAGGTTCTGCAGAGGAATCACTTCTGCATTCCCATACCCAGCGAAGGTCACGGCGGCAGTGCCGTTCTCCCGGTCGATCTCCTCAATCTCAGCCTCATACACCCTGCCAAAGAATCACGCCTGTAAGCAGGTGAGTACGAGCCAAATACTCTAGATCTACTTAATGTCTAGACCAATATACAATACTAAATACAAGACCATTGGATTCAGTGCAGGTCTTTTTATTGCTCATATTTCTGACTTATGAGCTCCTTTAAGTCAAACCTACATGGATTGAAAACGAAAGCTGCTCATCTTCACACTTGTTTAGGGACTTAAAGTCCTTTTCTTTAGCGACAAAAAGATTGTGTAGGGACGGTTGTGTTGGAAGAGGGAATAAATCCACACTGAGCCAATCTCCACTGTACATTGGATCCTTAAGGCGATGCCTTTGTTTTGAAAAGTGTCTCCTGGTAGATGTTTCTATCATTCTTTCTGAGCAGCTGTGATATGAGATGAGCAGTTTATGCATATTTTAAGATACATTGTTATCTATCAGTATGCAGGTGGGATTTTAACAACTTGTGGTATATCAGCAGTAAAAGTGCTTAAAACAGACCTAAAAACCCTGACAACAAACAAAACAATTTGCTGCAGGCGGTTTCTCCACCCAAAAGAACATTTTATATAACTGAAGACAAATAAATAACAAGGATGGACAGAAGCCCATCCTTAACATCATTATCCGAATGAAAGTAAACTTAAATGTTACTGCTAGAAGGCAATTTTATATATTATTTTCATCAGACGAGGCTGGTGATACTCACTGTCCATCCTGCTTCCAAACTGCCAAACAGCTGTCCCCCACTTTCCAGCCATGCTTCTGGGGTACGGCGTCTGAGCCATTGGTGCTGGAAGTACTTTCTGCGGGCTGCGAGGTCAGGAGGTCTTTTGTCAAATCAATGACTTCCTGTAGAAGAAACGCAATCAAATGGTCACGAAATCTTTATGAGTTCCCCCTTAAAAAGGTGACAATGTCCAGAGGTGTGACAGAGATATTTTTCTTAAATTAAGCCCTATTCAGGGTTAGCAATCTAGAAAGATCATTTGAAAATGCTTATTTAAACCAAGTCAATACGATCTGAATATTAAAAGTCTAAACTCTAAATACAAAAACATAAACATGCAATTGAAAACCCGTAATGAAAACCTTATATATTGTTCAAATGTAAGAATATGTTTCACAATACTAAAGTTAGAAAGGCTTAAAAAAAAAAAGTTTAATAACAGCATTTCATTTTCCGAATTTCATGTGTGCAATGCCCAGAACTATTTTAGTTTTACACATATTTGACCTCAATCTCTTTTGTTGTTAGTACTTACCCTTCATTGCTTTAATACTGTAAAAATATTGTTATTTGGTGCATTGTACAAACCCTATATTATAGTAATCTTTGCATGTACATACATTACCTATTTCCTTGCATAATGTGCATCTTTCACAACTTAGCAAACACTTTTTTCAAACTATTTTTTGTGTTCGGCATTGATGCTTGATGCAAAAGTTTGGACATGCCTTGTAATTCAATTGAATGAGAAAGTACACCCACACCTTTGTCTGGCATTGTATTTACACTAAACTAGGTGTTGTATTTACACTAAAACAAAATGCACACTGGCATCGGTCTTCCTCTAATTGTGTACACAACAGCCCTCTTCCGAAGAAGCTATTTCAGTAGTTATTAACGTTAGATGATCACTTTCCTCTTAGAACAGTACAACCACCACATCCTTATAAACGGATTTGGCAATGACGAATACGCTCCTTCAATGGAAAATGATTTCACATTTACACCAACCTGTAAGTCTTTCTGGAGTTTAAGGAGGTCTTCATTTTCTTGGTCGGTGGATAAAGCAACTTCTACTTGCTGTAGCTGCGCTTTGTAGCTGCTCAACTGTTTCGTTAAGTCGTCCGACATCTGTGTGTTGACAAAAACAAGAGCGTTCTCTACTAAAACGTGCTAACAAATGGGTCAACTTAGCTCAATTAGCACGACCGAAACGCTAATGTTTAAGCATGCGCGTGTTAAGCAAACGGTATTAAATTAGCAACAACATAACACAAAAGACTAGTGTAGTATATCGTTTATATAACCAGTGAAACCGTTGTGCTAAAATCTCCCTGTAAATAAAAAAACATGATATAACGTCAACGCTAAGGATCAACGTTAGCGTTAGCCTTACGCTAGGAAGGTTAGCAACATCCCTCGGCCTCTTTTTCGTCGACGGGAAATTTACGTATGACGGCAACCGTTAATGCTGTCAATAACGGCCGAGGGTTATCACAGCTTAAGGGAAGAGGGGTCGGTGTCAATCTTACTTCGGTATAACTGCTCTTGACCGTTAAATACAGCAGGCATCCAAATCTTCAATCGACAATTTGCCAAAGCGACAACTGAAAAGGACAACAGTGCGCGTTCCTTCTCGCCGTACACAATTATTCGACCGGAAGTCCCCGACGGACGCTCTCGCGATAACAAGCGAGATCAGATGAAGTCAACAGCCGCGCGTCAGCGTCCCTAGTGGCATCTTCAGTTTCCTAATTGTCCCATAATGGAATGCAGAGGCTGAACTATGATACTCTACTGTGTATTGCAAATATAGCAAAACCGTATGAGTCATGGTTGGTGTTGTTTGTGTATATGTAGAAACAGATACACACACAAAAGTAGACACACTCACAAGAGTGATGCCTCAGAAAACTAAAACCCTTTTAACACTGATAATAATAAATATCATTAACTTATTAGAGTAAAACTTGTCCCCTGGCGTGTCTGTCTAAATATATGACGTACCAATCCTAAAGTAGGTAACCAGCTATGCATGGTCATTGGCATGCTTTGCTTGTTATCTACTTTAACATCACGACAATATTATGTTTTTCTTTCTTTCAGGATACATGAGAACATTTTGCTCATAAAACAGAACTGCTAAACCAGAAGGAGTGTACACTTAATCCATGGAATTTAATATAGCGCAGATATTAAATCTATAAATCAAAAGCGTTGTTATTGTCATAATCAGCCTGTGGTTTCAGAGTGTGAGAGCAACACGGCATTGCTTTTTGAATCTCCAGCAGCAGATGAACTCCGCCCATTCCTGATCTCACTGGAGAGGAGTCGTCCTCACTCGTCCTCACTCGTCCTCAGCGTCAGATCAAGCCCATATAAAACAACGCACCCTCCCCTTCAGCAGCAACAGATGACAAGGTCTCCCTGAGCCAGCATCATCTCCAATGTAAGTCTGTTTTATGAAAGTTGTTATGCTAAAAATGATGCTGGATGAAAAAATCATTTTCAAGGAAAATATTGGTCTTAAAAATAATTTTGAAAAGTGGGACTAATGTTACAATGTTCTCTTTATTTCTTTAAATATTTTTTATATGAACACACATTTTTCAATATTTTTCAATATTTTGTGTCTCTTTACTTACTGACAAAGAGGAAGAGAAGCACAGGTTTCTTCTCCCGTGGGACTTTATCCTCTGATGCTGTGTTCCTGAATGAATAATATTAATAGACAACTGGCAAGCGCAGCCGCCAAACCTTCTAAAAGAGCACTGGCTGGAAATAATCATCGACCCGACAACTCATCCCGATGGGTTGTCCTAACTTCACCGGTGGAAATGAGACCTTGCCTGGCAGGCACCTGTATGCTGTGCCATTGACAATCCTTGTGGGTATCCTCATCCTGCTAACTGTGTTTGGAAATGTAATGGTGGTAATTGCCGTGATGACGAGCCGAGCCCTGAGAGCCCCTCAGAACTTATTTTTAGTCTCTCTGGCGTGTGCAGACATTCTGGTTGCCACCTCGGTGATGCCGTTCTCTTTAGCGAACGAACTGATGGGTTACTGGTACTTTGGCAAAGTGTGGTGCGAAATCCACCTGGCTTTGGACGTGCTCTTCTGCACCTCGTCCATTGTCCACCTGTGTGCTATCAGCCTGGACAGATACTGGTCCGTCTCTCAAGCAATCGAGTACAACTTGAGGAGGACGCCTCGCAGGATTAAATGCACGCTCTTGGTAGTTTGGGTACTGGCGGCGATAATTTCATTCCCTCCGCTCATCACCATGAAAAAGGACGAGGGCAAGGAAGACAGCCCGAAATGTCAAATCAATGAGGAGAAATGGTACATCTTATTCTCCAGCACTGCCTCTTTCTTTGCGCCCTGTGTCATCATGATTATGGTGTACGTTCGAATATACCAGATCGCCAAGAAAAGAGCAAGAGCCCAGCCGGGCGACAGGCAGAGAGAGTGTCGCAATCCCGAAGACACAAAATGTGGCTCGGACCCCCTGGAAAGAAAAGACAGAGGGGGGAGGGAGGCGGGAGGCCGAGAGATCAATGGGTTAGACGTTGAGGAGGAGCCTTCCTCGTCTGATGGGAACGAAAGCGTCCTTTGTTCTCTGAGGAAGAGGAGGGGTGTACGAACAACCAAAGCGGCTGAGAAGAAGCCCGGAGGAACCCTTCCACAGCCCCGTGTGAGTGCGGCCAAGTGGAAAGGAAGGCATCAGAGGGAGCGGCGCTTCACCTTTGTTCTGGCCGTGGTCATGGGGGTGTTTGTTCTGTGCTGGTTCCCCTTTTTCTTTACATACACGCTCACGGCTGTGTGTGACACCTGCTGTGTGCCGGAGACGTTGTTCAAAACGTTTTTCTGGCTCAGTTACTGCAATAGCTCTCTAAATCCTGTTATATACACTATATTCAACACTGATTTCAGGAGGTCTTTTAAAAAGATCCTTTTTAAAAGGGACAGAAGAGGTTAATAACACAACTTCTATGGATGCATTTCATATACAGCAATGTGGCCATCTATATTAGGCCCCTACCAACACTGTAAATATAACCCTAAAAATGTATTAAAAGATATTTATAGAGTGTTTGATGAATGTGAAATGTTAAATGTAGCATGTTTTGCCTCAGTGTTTTCATATTAGACATTCGGTGATGTATGCAACATTAAATCATGCAACAACGATTTATGTGCAGTTTGTTTTACAGTGCGGCACCCTGTGAGTTCACATTGCACATTTGTGACAACGTGGATGATTTACACGTGTTTATACAGATATCATCTCTCTCTGTTTGTGTACTCAATCCTGAATGATTTAGAGATGGAAAAAAGTTTACTTTAAATTTGTGACAGCGGGAATAAATTTAGTTTGTAACATAAAGACAGACCACTATGGCTCACATCACAGACAATCAAACTTCATCCATCAGACCATATTGTAAGAGCTCTCATATTGCAATCCCCTGAAAATGTCAATAGTTGGTAAACAAACACGGCCAGTGATTTTATTATGACTGAAAACTCAATTATGTGCACATGACAGTAATTACCCTGTGGGAGGAACAGAATGCCAAAATGATGGAATATAATTGGAAAAGTACGTGTTTCTCTCTCTCCCTGTAATTGGACACACTAATTTAAGCAAAGACAGATTCATAAAAGTAGATTATTGTAAATGCTTCAGTATTGCCAAATACAAATATGCCATTAATGGTTGTGCAATAGGAAAAACAACAGATGAAAGCTAATTGTACCCAAAAATATATTATTCCCAGACCACCAACAATCTCCTTCACTCATAACAAGCAGCAGAATATGACGATTATATGACAAGAAAATTACGCCTGGGAGGTACAACAATATTGAATGGAGATTATCATGAATAATAGGCCTTCACATCCGGATATCATTAAATCATCCCCTGGAGTCAAACAAAAAAAACATTCAGCAATAGGGATGTGAGTGGCCGCTGCAAATTGCCCTGTGAGGTTAATTAATATCAACCCGAGCTTATGGTTCTTCTACAGTGTGTCCAATATCAGCATTTTCCATCTCTCCTTCTTCTTTTTAGCACACTGTTGACAGCACTATAACTTTTATACATCAACCTCTCTTCAACAAATAGACTTTTGGACCCCTATCAGTCTGTGAACCAGACATTGGGTAATCACGCCATCTATGATTGCTTCAACTCAGCAAACATTTCCACCGACCACCTCTCGTCCGTACGGTAAATAACGCAATGATTCCCATGGCTTGTTGTCTGGGACTCTGGTGTTTAGAGATTCCTGCGGTACACATGGGTTTGGGTTCAACCACGGCTGCTGTGTCTTAAAATACAACATATCTTACTTACCACAAACCTACTTAGTTCCCACGAACAATCTGACACCAGGAGCATTAGGAAACAGTGGCGTTTGAGGCCTTTTGGCGAGGAGGAGTAATGAAGTCGTTGTTAATCAATATGAGGGCTGTTGGGACTCATGCTGACAACTACTGTCGTATAAGACAAAAAATAACGAAACTCAAATAAATTAGCAATCCACGTTGTGTAAAAAAAGAGTACCTTCAAATATTATCAAAACTCTGTTCAATGGGACTCTCCAAGCATGAGGGATTAAATGACAGTAACCTTTACAGTACTTGTACAGAAAGAATAATGAGACAATGGAATCAGCAGAGTTGATGTGGCAATATCTCTAAATTAGTAATGTAAACAACAACAAAAAATTGGAGACTTATCTACTTAATCATCCGTTACTGAATATTTCAGGCAGATTTATTTTGCAATCTTCTAAACCTCACTCACTACTCACTTCTCTGGAAATTAACGTTGGTTACAAACTGTGAACAGTTGGTTACAATTACAATTCCCAGCATCCCAGAAGCGCTTGTGCCGAGAATGATTTATTTCCCCCTCTGAAGGCCACTTCATAACTTCACAATTCATGCTGGTGACACCAAAGCTTATAAAACATTGTTTTATATGCTGCTTCTGGCAGGCGTTTCCACAACTTAGACACAGCTCCAGTTAGTCCTCTCCATGTCCACAATTGATTTAATTATTAATACTACCGCCATCAGCTTTTTAAAGCTGCTACTTGTGTACCTTAAATAGCCCAGTGGATTAAAGACCAAAGGGAACCGACATCCCAGACGAGGAGAATGACAAACAGAGGCATCAAGACCATAATAACCACTTGAAATCATAGCTAGTGATGAAGAAAGTACTTGTAATTTAATGTTTGGTCATTCATTATAGATTGAGCACAACGCGTCATGCACACTGGGGCATACGGGACTTCCCTAATTGACAAGGACGTGAGGGATGTAAGCAGCAGAAAAGAGCCTCATGCAATCCATGTTACTTTCTCCACTCTGCTTACAACTGATTCTCCGTTGGATATTTTACTCAAATAACTTGTTTTACATTTTCTTATTTCCTCCAAAAAGTCTGGAAGGGGCTCAAGAAGACGCTGCGGGAAGAGGGACCCCGCTGGGAGTTAAAACAACCAAAGCGCTTTGGGATGAAATGGAATTTACATCAGATGTGTCAACAAACAGAAGCTCATGCCTTGAGAAAGACAATATACTCTTTACTGATTTATGCTTTTGTTTCATCATGTTTTACATTCTCTTCATTTACACATATGACCTAAATTATATTTTATTTTTGAGCCTATTAAAAACTATTTCTAAAGTTGTTATTTTGATAGAAAGCGTGAGTGCGTGGGTGAGAGACTGAGAGGAAAGCGAGAGAATATAAGAAGGAGAAACGGGGTGAAAAGGATAAAGGCAGAGCCCTGACTATATATATATATATATATATTACTAATTTGTCTTTGAGAGACAATGACATTAGAAACACAACAAGTTGAATGAGTTTAAAGTACTGATTGTTCATTCCAATCACCATCAGTAGTAGAATTACTCTGCCATGTGAAACTCCATGCAGCATCTCCACTGTGCGGCGAACCATCATTGATACCACATTAAGCACTGGCAAATCTCCTGCTCCGGACACCATCGCTCTTCCTCAGCCATCTTGTCCTGTCTGTGCCATCGATCGTATTCCAATTGCATTCAGGCCCACTCTCCTCCTCAAGCAAAAGATTCTGCACAGCGCCCCCACCCCACCCACCATATCGCTCTTGAATAATGTCTGTCATACTCACAGACTAAACACCAACTGTCGCTGTCGCTGTCGGTGGACAAACGCCTGCAGACAGAAAGAAACCACGCTATCGTCCAGGACATCTCTGTGGGCCGTCACCTACTCCAAGGGAAGGAGAAACTAATATTTCTAAGGGTGTCAGTAATAGTTGCAAATTATTTTTATGCATATTCAAATCTTCCAGGGAGGATGATATGGCTTTGTTTCTAAAACTAGGCGACGTGAATGAAATATAAAACTATCATAATATCTCAATGCTGTTTCGGGTTCCAGTTTCAAGGGTGTCTTTAAAACTACATGATTGGATATTTAAATGGTTCAATTTTGGCACAACAGCCTTTGACCAAATTACATCTATAGGCTAAAGAGTACTAAAGAATACTTGTTTAAATAGCAAATGATTACTTATTTTTGACAAATGTTTGATTAACCTCCTACAGCACTGCCATATTTTAGAAATAGATCAGATGAATCTCTATAAAGTTTCTTTTTATTATAATGCTACCAACATGTCATGAGGACATACATGCCTCTTGTCGAGCTAACGGTTAGCTTATCTTGCTATCGTAGCGTGGTTTTTATTTCATCAATAGCTACAACGTGCTAGCATATGTTTACAGACTAGTTAGTAAAAGAACGCAGATCCTCCAAACATGAGTTTCACGATAATTGATTGAAATAAAAAATGATTCGTGAACTTTGTATTGACATTAAAGTTAAAGTTAATCTGCAAAGGTTAGTTAGTTTCCACAAAATTTGGTTTAAAAATGGCTGCCGTAAGTGACATATCTCCCTACAATACTGCTTGAGTGCGAAGAGTACGATCCTCATTGATGTGTAAAGAGACAAAAGCTCAGCTAAGCTCCATAGCTCCAAATGTAGCTGATTCAATGTAAAGCAATAATTACAAGCCCTTCTTATTAAGCATCAAGCTATTTCTATACCTGATGTACGTCCTGCACCAGCTCAGGAAGTTAAACGGGCCTCGTGAGCTGCTGATCCAGTGTGTGGTGTCTGCACATAAATCCCTGTGGGGTTTGGATCAGCGGGGCAAACAGAAGAGGGTTAGGGGGTTAGGGTCGGGGTTAACAGAAAATCAGGATCAGCCGGTGCCGGCTTTGCCCGCCATTCATCTCCACAGACCCTTAACACTCTGGACACAAGCTGTTCCAGCTTCTCTCCTCTCCTCCGGGCTACTGTGCCTCAAAACAACACTTCTCTCATCCACAGTTATCATCAGTTCAATAATATCGATGCACACATTCTGTATTTATTCCCCCATTACATGTATATAAAAACAGCTGCTACATTATGTGTATATGACCGCTGACATCTTCCTCCTGGCAGTAGGATCCTATTCCCACGGTCCATCTTCTTTCCCTGTATTTATTGTTTCTTTATCTCGCTGATGGACAACAGGATGTGACTTTCTCGTTCTCTAAGACGTTACGTCTGATAATGGGAAATTATCTGTGGTGATCAGGGATAGACTTCCAGATGGTAATCTCCGGTTTAATTGAATGTTCTTACGGGGGCGGATTTTCTTTCTTCTTTCTTTTTGGCAGTGTTTTTATTTATTATGTGTCTTTCTTATTATACCCTTTTGAGCCGCTTTGAGCTTTTTCACAAAAGCCATTATATAGTTTGAGTACAGACATTTCTGTTTGTTATTTAATAACTGTAAATCATTTATCAGATTCTGTGTTTAACTCTAAATAAAGCTTGTAGTTGCTGGTAGTCATGATGTACACATGAAATAGAAAACAGTGCAATGGAAAGATATTATAACACTGTAAATGCATCAATTCTGGTCCGTACAGCATCTGGTGAGAGCACTTTTGTGATGAGAGTTGGGATGTGAGGCGAAACCCAACATTCATAACACTTAACAGAATTACAGCCAATATCGCATTCATGAGAAATGTTGTCAGCGCTCCACGGAAACCTAAACAAGTTACACCAACAGAATGTGTTGTTATTTAAAATTATTTTCACGTATGTTCCATGAATATGTATTTTGTTGTTATTGAGCAACACACTGCAGATGTATTGATTGAATCAACATCCCTGAGATTTTTTTCATGTTGCATGTTGTACTAAATTAAACAAAGCTGGGAATAATACCCATAAGAGACTTGATGTTTATGTGTGGTGTTGAAAACCATGGATTTCTTTTTTACAATGATGTGAAACATCGCTACGTGTTTGGCTGTTGAACCATGGGAAATTCTGTAGCAATTACTCATCTGTGCCAATACCACCATCTGTTATTTGGGCTGTGAACAATCCGCCGGGTTCAAGTGAAACCCCAAATATTCTCCTGCGGCAAAAGTGAGTGAACGCGCATCACCAATATGCATCTAGTCTCTGTGTGACGTATTGCTCTCTGCTCTCTGCTTATACTATGCAAACTATGTAACTACTTGCTGTGTTAATAGAGAAGGACGCTTGCTTGATTCTTAACTTTTCCTTTGTTGTTAACCAAGTACGTTTTCTCTCTTTTAAAAGTGATTTCTAGTACAATAAATCACATTTAGAGGAAATGCCAAGGAACAAAAGAACAAGCCTCCCTCAATTGTAGAAATGATTTCACTTTCAAGAATAATGAGTCCAACTTATCTCCAGTGGAGACATGTTAGTAGGGTGTTTTCTTGGTGAATGTCCTCTTCGGGCAACCAAACTCTAAACCACGAAGCAGACATTTAGTTACAACTGGCTATAGGGACTCTTGATCAAAACATCTAACATAGAATATGTACATGGTGATCACAGCACATTTAATATTACATTCTATTATTGATTTCCGTATTGTTGGCCAAACACTCGCACCACGTGCAGGTCCACACTTGTCAAATGTTTGTTTGTTTTAACGAGGTGGTTTAGGGAAGCGCGTCCGGGCATGCGCGCTCCCGCCGGCGGCGGCGGCGGCGCGGCCTCAGCTCGGTGCCGCTGCGTGCTGCGCGAGCCAATCGCCATGCAGAAAAACACAACATTGCGTCATTGTTATTGTGGTCGCGGCGAGCTCCAGCAGCTGACGGGAGATTTCGCCACCGCCGCCGCTTTCGCCGAGGCCCCTATATCTGTCCCCCCACCGCGCTCACGGAACATTCTTAAAACACGGGACGATGTCGTCGGACGAGAGCTTGCAAGGTAAATGACCCGCGGGAGGAAGTCGCTCGAGGAGGCGCGAGGTTGAACGGCGGTGCGCCGCCGCGACGGATCGTTCACAGCCGCTGGACGTGGACGTGGAGGATCCACAAAGCGGACGAACCAGTGCCCCGGTCATCCGCCATTGAGGCTAAAGTGCCTCTAAGCCACGTCTTTTCCGCCGTGCTGTTCGCTTTGACTGTGTTAAGAAAAACATTTTTTAAATTATTATCTTTTTTGTTTTAAAGGTTCCTGGATCGAGCTGCATTTCAGCGGCAATGGCTCTCAGAGTGCGAGCCTCCCCCTCGGGGGCCAGGAGCAGATCCCCACGGGCGTCCCGCAGGGGGACGTGGAGGAAATGCTGCTGGACGCACAGCACGAGTCCGGGAGAAACAGCTCCAAAGGAAGCTCTCAGTGCAACAGGTCCGTTGGGAAATGGGGAAGAACTGATTGTGTGTGTGTGTGTGTGTGTGTGTGTGTGTGTGTGTGTGTGTGTGTGTGTGTGTGTGTGTTGTTTGTTTCTCATGGCCTGCGTTGTGTGATAAAGCTCAGTTTTAAATGACCGACACGGTGTCTTGTTTTCATCACAACAGCCCACTTCGTGCCCAGACCCCCCTTCTGGTGTGGCGAGGCTCAGAGGCCAACAGCTCACAGGTAAACATGTGGGAGCCAGTGAACTGGAGCAGAATCCGGTTCATTCAGAGCAGTTTTAATGGGATTCTTTGTTAGTTGTTTGTTTTTAAAATGCAAGTGAGGTTTGAATCTCCCACATCTGTGTTTTTTAGTCGGACGAAGACTTCCAAGAAAGAAGACGGGAAGTGGAGAACATGATGAAGAAAAATGCCGACTGGATCTGGGACTGGTCTAGTCGACCCGAGAACAATCCCCCAAAGTACGTAACACCCCCCCCCCCCCATCTCATTATGCAACTTTTCTCTTGTAGTTTTAGTGGTGCTCTACTACTTAGCACAGTTATTCCTTAAGATTTAAGAGCAAAACCTGTCTGCCGAGAGGCCGATGACTAAGATGCGATCAGTCTGAGGGCCATGGATGACACACGTGTGTGCTTCTCCGCAGGGAGTTCCTGCTGAAGAACCCCAAGCGCTCGACCTCTCTCAGCATCCGGAACACCAGCGTCATGAAGAAGGGGGGCGTTCTCTCCGCTGACTTCCTGAAGCTTTTCCTTCCTTCGTTAATCATTTCTCACATACTCGCTGTTGGCCTGGGGTGAGCGACGTCATGTAATCTCCGACTCTGGCAACCGCAGCATTTAAGACATTCTTAGGGACAAAGAAGAATCATTTCTTTTTTTCTTTAAAATAATTATACCTGGAAAAAAATAGAAATTTTTCACTGTTAATGCAAAAATATTTTTTCACCGGACCGACACAACATGAATAATTTCGTGGTTATCTGGTGTTGTGCTCTAGATTAAATGGCCTGTTAATGAATTTGAGAGTGATAGATCCCAGTCCTCTCTTTAGATGTTTAGTGGGGAAACAACAGTGTTATATACATCTATAATGACATTCAAAACCTAAATATCCAGGGGCAACATATATTCGGTTTCGTCATCTTCAGTGTCTCACATGTAGTATGTAATCATGTGGGTCTTATCTAAATTAGTTGACTCGGCAAAAAATGGCACAGGTATCTTTTTAGAGTGTTCATTTAATTTAATTAAAAATTTAGCTCTCAGTACCATTTGAATTGACGTTGTTTCTCTCCTCCGGCAGGATCTACATCGGGAAGCGTCTGACCTCCCACAACACCTACTGAGGAGGAAGGCTGTGCCCTGATGTGACCGACCACCCAAGCATGCCTTAAAATGGGACCTTCCGATGACTGAGTGGGAGATGTGACCATGCGAAACGGTCCAATTTGACGGAGCGCTCCGTTCAGCTCACAGCGGCTCGGAGAGGATCCGTCATTGCTGTTTCACGGCGCGCGCCGGTGAACACAACAGTGACCGATCCTCTGCTTTTAGCCGTAGTCTCTGCTGTGATCAGTGTTCTGCTGCTTCCTGCTCCTTAAATCTGCACGTTAGGGAACTTTTAGCATACGCCGTTGCCTTTTTTTTGGTTTTCTTTGCGGTGAGAAATCCCTTTTGAGTTGAAAAGGTGTATCAAAGTTGTTTTTTTGTATCAGCTGTGAAGAAAAGGAAGGTGTTCGGACTTGTAATTCCCTTGGATGTGTCATTTGTTTAGCTAAAGTGTTGTGCAGTTGTACATTGTGATAGGGAAGCACTATTAAGCCACAATATGGTCCATTCTGTCCATCAGACACAAAATAAAAGTTGGAAACACACGTACGGCCTTGAGGCATTTATAAACAAGTCGATGTGCAGAAACATGGAAAGAACCACATGCAGATGAACACAATTAAAATTTTATTTAACTTTGGTCAAAATAATAAACAAGTGAATACATTGCCACCATGTTAGGAATCAATGGACAAAGACAACGCATTTATGTGTTTGTTTTAATGTCATCAGTATACGTCGTGCAGTCAACCTTCACCTCTGCATTCACAACTACGGCGAGAAGATCCACGTTTTAAAACACGTGGTCCAAATTTGGGTGACATTCCTAGTAAATTAATAAGGGCACATGTATGAGGCCTGTCTGAATTCCCTACCGTTACATGGTTAGGAGGCACGCTATCACACGGTGTGCAATCTCTCCTCCTGCGTTTTTTCATAGACAGCCACATATAGCAGCAGTATATGAGCACATAACTCTATAAAATAGGATTTACAAATAATGCACATGAGGTTTGTAAAATGTTGAGGGTGGAGGAGGAGGGGAGGGGGGGGGCATAACTTGTAGCTGTCACTGATAAAAGTAGGCATTAAGGCTGCAGACTCCCTGTGTCCCGGGCCCCACCATGTGCCGTGTAGTTTCCAGCCTTCATCCCAAACACGCGGTCAAAAAAACAACAACCAAGAAACGGATCCCTGGACACAAACACATCATCAGTCGTCTCCAACAGCGGCTTCCAAACCAGTTGCCCCAAAGACCATATCCACAACAAGTTTTCTTGAGATCTGCTCAAAGACAGTGGTGTGACTCGACATTTTCCCACCTCGCTACAACATAAAAACATGCAAAGCAATAAACTTGTTTTAATACATACTTCTAAATTTAAAAACACATCTGTAGTTTTAGTTTCTTTTATTATGTGGATGACATGGTGTACTTAGAGTAGATACAGTCAGTGAAATTATGTCACCGTATTGACGGGGATAAAGTAAGAGGAAGGGAGGGAGGGAGGTTTGGGGGGGGTAGAAGGGGGGAGGAGGAGAAGAAAGAAAGTCCACTTTCCAAAAATTCATGGCCACTTCCACCAGCGGTTTGGCCTGAATACATGGCCAATGGGGGAATGTTACAGTTAGGCCTATTGGCCATTAATCCGTGCTTCAGAGCGCCCAAAACCTTTGAGATGATGTTACAACTTTGACAAGACGTCGTTTTAAGGGCTTCCAATAGTTCTGTCGTGAAATCATGAAATGAAGGCTTAAAATGTCAACACAAACACCAACGTTCAAGAGTTTGACCTCTAGGGAGAGCCATTCCGTCAATACGACCCGAATTGGGCTTTCTGGGTCAGGGGAGAGGAGGAGGGAGGCGTGTTGACTGCCCCCGTTGCCAAAAGGCAAGAACAACCTAAGCTCAGACTCAAAATAAAACAGGCCTATGGATCAACCTCCTGTGGCGAAAAAAGAAAAAGAAAAAAAAAAAAAAAGAAGAAGAAAAGTAGACACGTGCTTTCGAATTCTTCACCAGGAGGACAACGAGGCTGTTTTCTTCTTATACAGATAGACAAGTAGTAGGCTTAACTACACAGGTACGGTAAAAGCCCTATCCCTCTGGAGACCCCAAATCTTCTAGTTGATTTTGTCCTGGAAAATGTACAAGTTGTTGGTGGCTGCCACAGCGATCACGTTATCTTTGGGGTGCCAGGCAGTGTGGAGGATCTTCTTGTTGAAGTCCAGGCTGTCCACGCTGATCTCGTCCTTCTTCCTCTTGCCGCCGGTGGACACTTTGCGCGGTTTCAGCGTAGCCCGCGGTTTGCTGCTCTCCCGGGACGCCTCCAGTGTGATGTCCCGCCTGGTGTTGCGGTCAAACATTCGGAAGAAGTTGTTGTAGGAGCCGGTCATGATGGCACTTTTGGAGAGAGAATAAGAAGATTTATGTTTAACTAGAAAAGCAAAACTCCACGTACTCAAGTTATTGCCATTTCAAATTCATAATTTAGGGACACAAAGCAATACAAATATACCGCAACAGATGCTTTCCTATGCAAGCGCAAGGACACATACCTGTCACTGCCATTCCAGCAGCACTCAAACTTGTCAAAGATGCAGTCATTTTCATACAAGGAGCACAGTTTACTGCGAAGGTATTCATGGACCTGGAACAAAAGACAACACTTAACGTAAATATTCACGCCAGCATCGCGTCTTCATCGCCATGGACACGGTTGAGTGGAACTGCCGGAGTACTTTTTCCATCAGCCAACGGTCGCCCTCTAACAGAACTGCCCTCAGATGCCTCGGCTGAACGTTCCCACGGAGATACTGCTTTGACGAACATGACGGACGCGGTAACAGATGTTCGGGCGGACCGACCCAAAAATACAATACGGATCCGGCCACGCCAGTCGCTGGCACAAAGCATCATTACGCTGTTTGAGGACATGACCACGCTATGTAGGAAACGAATGATGTGTTTAAGTCAAGCTTGATGTTGCCTTACACATAAAAGAATGATCAGTCGTGTGCACAGTATCAAAGAAATACTGCTTTCCGATTGGTTCTCGGAATTGGCTTTTTTTTTTTTAACCAAACCTGAGAATCAGGACCGTAAAACTTAAATCAGAGCATCCCTAATTATAACAACTTTACTTTGTTCTCACACAGGATGAATGCTATGCGCCAAGTAACAACAGAAGTACGCTCAATTCACCTGATACGTCTCCACTGGCCTGTTCTCCATGTTGAGGTCCCAGACTTTGACGGAGAGGTAGTCACGTGTCATCATATAGCGTCCGCTGTGACTGAACTTCACGTCCGAGATGGATGAGATGATCTCAGAGAAAAAAGATCGGCTGCTTGGGTCCTCTGGTTCTTCAAAGACTGTAATGAAGATTATTGTTTCGAAAAAATTACTCCCAGCGTGCCTTTGTAATTCATTAAAACAAAATCATATACAAACTGGAACACCAATCACTGTATAACAGATTTAAAATTATATATATAATATATATATACAAACCAAAAGGTTATCAATTCACTCACTAGTTGACACTAAATCTAATTATCAGATGAATTGTTACTTACTGGGCAATATTTTGTCAAATTACTTGAACAATCTAAATGAATGCTCAATCAATGGACGATTTAATTGACTTAACAATATACTCACACTTTGCTTGCCGATCACAGAGGGCCGCTGCGCGTGTGTCACACAGGCGGATGGTGCCTTTGCTACTGCTGTACACAAATACATTGCATTGGAGTGGATGGCACTCAGCAGCTGTGATTACTTCCGTCAGTTCCTCCATGTTGGCGGGCTTGATGTCTACAATATCTGGGGACACGCCGTTAAGGAACTAGCAGTCGTATGTTTCATCAAGAGACAACGCAAGGATGATTGGCATATACGTCACATCCGGTCCATCCGGTAAAGAAAAAGGATACTAAAACTTCTGTCTGTGATTTCCAAGTGCCATAGATTTATTCTTAGGTCATCTGCAGAGAGGTACGTTTCATGATCACTATTTACAGAAATGGAATTAATGTGATAGGTGTGCGCATTTGCAAAGATCCTCCGTGGGCTTGCTTCTACCATGAGATCCATTGGCATCAGTACTGGTACCTGAAAATACGACACGCGTTTTAAGACAACATTATAAGTAAATGAGTAAACCGCCCTGTTAACAAAAGGAACGGGTCTGAGTGAACATACCCGTAAAGAGGTGATTCTAAAGGGGTCTCGCAGTCGTCCATCTTCATCTTTCAGGTTGTAACCTTCTGCTCTTTTATCTCTTTCACTTATTTTCCACAATTTGATAGTTTTATCTGGCAAAAACAGGTAAGACAGTTGTAAAGTCTAGAGGTGAAGAAGAATGATCTGATAATATTCAAGTTAAGTCACCGTGTGAAAGTATAGCATCAAAACAATCAAAATAGATACAAGGTAAACCCTTACCATTTGTCGAAAGTAGAAAGTGAGCAGCATTTTGTTGGGGTAGCCATCTTATTTTATTAATTTTCTCCTCAATTTCTAAACTTTTCAAATAGTCAAATTCTGGCTCGTGACTCTGAAATGTGCTATAGACGTTGTACTCCCCGCGCAGATGTGGGCGATTCTTAGACTGAAAACAAAACATTTGCAAACATGAGTCACCAGGTACACACATTGCAACAAAGTCAGCAAAAACCTTGTGCCATGTCATTGATAAAAGATGCTCATTTGCCTCTCAATGTGAATCTTACCTCCTGCTCATGTTGAAATATCACTACTCGGCCTCCTTTATCACCGGTTGCGAGCAATTCTCCAGAATAGTTGAACTCAACCGTTGAGATTATGTCAGCTGGAAAAAGGAAAACAAATCGGAGTGAATCCCACGTACGAGCTCGGTGATCACGTAACGTTATGTAGCTCAGATGACAGGTAGCACCATGGTACAACTAAATATGGTGCCCACAGACTAGTTTATTAACAAAGAGTCGGGCACACCGAGAGCCAAACACTCAAAACGTGTACACCCACTCATGTAAGAATGAATGAAAACAAGAATGATGTCACCCGACGATTTATGGACGCAGCACTTTGACGTCATAGAGACGGTCGCTCCCCTTTAATGGGTTAGCCACTAGCTAGCATACAGCTCGCTAGCGATATAGGGTAAACGACAGAGGAATTGCCCTTCAGTTCAACCGATCCGCAAACGGACTCACACTAATCACTACAACTGCCTTGTGTTGAAGCTCTTGCGACCACCTAGCTATCGTGCATCTCACGGGAAGCCCAGAGCATCACCATTACACCATCTAGCTAGTTAGCTTCCCATCGTTTTAGCCGAGCCGCCAAGCTAACGTTAGCCACATACCTTCCGCAACATCTTCATCTATCGCTCCTTTCACTTGAGAGAAACACCACTGAAAATCATTTCCACCTGCAACTCCTGCGAAAAGAACACATCGTTAGTTTGTGTGTGAATTGTGTTTTGTTCCGAGGACAAAAGGACCTGACAGTGACACAGTTTGACAACCAGCAACTTAGCTGGCCAGTGCTAACGTTGGCTAGCTAACTTGCAGATTCAGGGCCATCACACACCAAGTGAGGTGGGTCCTTATCCTCCCTTCAAAAGTAGCTTACCCGCCATTGCTTCATGTAGCAGCTCTTGCTGTACACGGCGTCCAATACTTAATCAACCAATGCGGCTTGCTCGGGGAAATTGGTAGCATCCACAATCAGTGTGAAGACTCGGGTCCAGATCTGTCAAGACCACGGAAATTATCCGAGATTTTTTTTTCTTCCAAAATGGCGCACGGTACATGGAGAAATGACGTCATGCACACATGCCACATCCTGGCTCCATCCATCCTCCTGAGCATCGTATTATTAGATGTACACTCAGTATTTATTTTCAATGCAGTAAACTTTATTCCATGACATATTGATACCTGCGTATGCCTGATTGTTGAAGCCACTTTAGCTGCCTTGTGATGGTTGAGATACAATACATTTTCACACTAGAATAGTGGTATTATAATTAAATGACCAAAATAAATATAATAAGCCGCAATGAACAACGTGAACATTTTTTGTAGTCTTTTCTTTGGCAGGGTATGTTTCAAGAATGTAGTTTGTATAAGAGGTGACCAGATTTCTTAATTGTTTTGTAGATATACAAGTAATATAAATGCACGTTCATTAATAAATTACATGATTAAACATTGACGATATCTAAAGTGTTTCTTAACTTAAAATTGTATGACACTTTACAAGTGGCTTGTATTGTGTGGTCAGTGGGTGACATCTAGTGGCTAAATAAGGAAACTCCAAGTAATGTTTTCTTGGGCAGGTTGCACCCACCTAGTTGGGTAATACGGTGAATGTACTTACCAGACTTAACAGACATCATCAACCTTCAAGTCTTTAACTACTTGGTCAGTTAAACCTCACTTACCAAACGAGTCCATTCAAAATAAACACAATTTGTGTTAAGATGGTAAAATGTATATTTCTAGTTTCAGCATTTGAATTGGTTTGTACCTCTACAGCATGTTACAATAACCCCTTTAGCTGTAGGCCTGCCATAGAGACGCTGTGCATATCTAATGTCGGCAGTTATGGGGAAATTCAGGAAACCATTATTGTTTCACATTGAAGGTGTTGCAGTGGACCCATAATGTCAATCTATCTTTATCTTTTTCCTCTGCATCAGTTTAAAAATGGAAAAGGTTTATATATATGTATATTTCTTGTTTGGTTGATCCCCACTGTCAACCAGCTCTTTCTTTGCATGCTATCAATCATCATGTTGTGTTTCCTTAAAATGGAGTGGATATTACATTAGGGAACCAACTTTTCAAACTCTTCTCAACCCAATTCTGCTCAGAACCCGTCAAAAAGTACGCCCTTTACATCTCTATTTCTGTGAGCGCAATATGCTGAAAACCATGGCGCAAAAAATATATACTCAAAAATAGTACATTTAGTTTCATGCTTATTTATCTGTAAGCAGCACTCTCTGAAGGGTTGGGGCTGTCAAGAACTGGGAGGGGAAAGAATGCCTATAGGGGCTGATTGTGCAACAATAAGAAATAGCAAAAAATAAAGAAATGGCAAATGCTGATGAGAATAAGTAATATATGGGCCACATTTTAGTTGACAAAATAAACTAAACTAAAACGAGCTGTGTTTTTCATTAACTGCTGAAATTAGGTGAGGAATGAGAAAGGTGCACTATTTGCCATCTGCATTGTGGTTTTAAACTTTGTTCTTCGCTACATTTGGAGATTGTCCTGCAGGTGGCACGTGAACAAGTAGCGATGCACCCAGAATGACCTGGACCAGATCTCACAAAAACCTCCCCGGCATCTCCGAAGCTCCGCAACCCTCTCATCACTCTCACTGCATCCCTTGGGGAGGAGTAGAGTAGAGGCCTGGAGGTTGGGAGGGAACCTACACACACACACACACACACACACACACACACACACACACACACACACACACACACACACACACACACACACACACATATACTGTATATATAAATATAGAGACTATGTGCATCTATATACAGTATATGTATATACATTTTCTTTTTACATAAGATGGACCATCTTATACTTGCAGTAGGATGGTTTAAGACCATTTGTAGAAATGAAAGAGCATGCGTCTAAATATGACAAATAGAATGTGACATTATACACACTTTACAAGGCACACATTTAGATCTGTGCAATCTGTGTAAATTATGCATTTTACAGATGTTAAAAAGGAAAAACTACCGAAATGTGTCTTCAAGCATTAAGCATTTACCTCCTGCTAGTGTATTGATCCCATTTGTAGCTGTGGGCATGTTTCGCTATAAATTAACAATAGATGGTTAACCATTCTTTTTTAAAATCATCATCATTTTAAGAACGACTTCAACCTCTAAAACATCCTTGACTTTTTGAAAATGAGCCCAATAAGTGCAGTGACTTTTACTTTATCAGCTTTCTACCCCTGACTGAATAAACGTATTGAGTAGCTGTCTGAAAGGGGCTGTGCAGACATTACTTGTTGGACACATTTAGTACACTAGATTTGAAAGCCTGACGTGGTGTTTATAGAGCTGTACTACTGGCCTGGTTGGAGCTTTTACAATTTTCAAAAATGATTAAAATATTTCTCAATTGTACTGATATTCTAAAATAATACACTTAATGCGTTGTTTTGTTGTTGTAACATCAGCCTTGAGTCGAACTGTTTGTATTCACCATCACAATGTGAAGGAGAAACAATTTGGGATTTAATAAACCGTACAGCTTAGAGGTTGTGTACATTTGATTTTCTCTAAATTTTTACTAAAGTTTAGTGTTGTGGACGTGTTTGTGTGTGTGTGTGTGTGAGTGTATGTGTGCTGCTGTGCGGTAGCTTCATCAGGTATAAGGAGAGGTGTTGACTTTATTCCGAGCCTCCAGTAACACCACTGACTCTGATAGTTCCCCGTCCCTGTGGGAATTCATTATAAGACAGCTAGAGGCTGCTTGTGGATGGTTACTGTGCTGCCCGTATGTTAACTTGTCGCTATCGCGCAAGGCAAACATGTGGTGCAGCTGCTTTCTCTGGCTGTGGGCAACCTGGAGAGATTGATTGGTGAGCCTTCTGTTTTATCCAGGATCAGGGCCACATTCAGTAGACATGGTGCCTCCGGAGAAGCAGCCATTTTCCCCAGAAAATATGGCTCATTACCAGCACAGACAAAATGAAGGTATATTGACTTTTTAACATCTTACAGCGGACCTGTTCCTGGAAATCCCAACTGCCTTTTGTTCTTGTGCAACTGAATGCAAAGAAATAGGTCCACTCATAAAGTCTCTTTTTACAAATCGGGTACATTTATTACCAAAACATGTTAGACATACGCGGAATTTGACTTGGCGGTTGGTGCATGGCATCAGACAGTAAGACAATGGACCACAAGACAGATAAGACAACACTGACGCTATCCTCATCTATTCCACTTTGCATTCACACTCTGAGGCGTGCACTTAAATACCCGTACTCATGTGTTTTTACCTCCCCACACACACACAAACAAACCCTTCCCCCCACGTTTGGGCCGTCAGACAGTTCTTAACACAAACCATTGGCCAGTGGATGTGTCTGTTCTGCTCAGGGGCATACGCTCTGTCCAGAGCCTCAGTCTTAACGCACTCACACACACAAACAGCAAAGACAAACACAATCAATTATTCAAGAGTCTTGTTTTGGCTCATGTGTTTTTTTTTCTTCTTTTCTTATTATTTCTGTTCTGTTGTTTCTATAGCATCCTCTGGCAACCTTACAGCCAGGAGGCCCGACGAGCGAGATACGAGGCCTGATGACTTGAGGTCCGCGCACGTCTTTGTAATTTAGATGGCAGAGCATAATTTGCATGGCCAGCCTTCGACATTGCCTTTATTGTGTGAAGAAACTACCCTTGCGGCTTTCCACAACCGAGCGTGGTCAAAGACCTGGCTTGAAAGACAAGCCTTTGTCTCCTTGTTTGCCCCCCCCCCCCCCCCTCTCCCATGATTGGACATCTTCAGCATGGTCCTTCACTGTGGTTGAACCTCACAGCGAAGCGCACGGAGGATAATTGCAGATAGAACACCGTCCTTTGGTTTGTGTTGTTTTCAGTTGTATCTTTCTGTTCAGGCACCTACAGATGTAAGATTCCCGTTTTTATTTTAAATACGGTGTTCGTCACTCTTCAGTGTTCAGATTTGAGCACTAGATGGCACTATGGCACTTATTATTCCACGCCGAGGGATCATTTCCATTTTGGAGGAGAAGTGTGAGCTGCCGACCCCAAGTGATGATCACAAACCGCTTGTTTTCCCTGAGCTGATGTTGATAATATCACAAAAAACTCTGCAGCCACTCGCATTTGTCAATTAACAGTTTTGACCTTCAAGAACAAAAAGGAATTGTTTCGATTTTGAATGTCGCAGTTTCACGTGAAGTACATATAAAAAAATACCAATTGGGAGTAGTGCAGATCACTTCCATTTCCATATAATCTCCAAGACTCCTCTAACTTGACAGGTTGTGTTTTTTTTATTTTTAAAGACCCACGTGAACATCAAACAAAACCCTCTCCTGAATCAATGAAAACGGCAAAGAATCACATCGAGGCGATATATTAGATGTGAATCCTTGCAGCGATGATGTCCTTGTAACAGATCATATTGTAAATACGATGGGTTAAATTGCACTTGTAGCTTCCCTTCAAACAGTCAGGGCTTTTCTCTCAGGGGGGACAAGAGAGTGCTGCAGACTCTTCCTCTAATAACGCAAGACAATGAGATCCCAGCTCATAACGTAGGCCTCCACTATATAGAACAAGTATTGGGGGCTTAGCAGCTAATAAAGTGGCAAGTCTTCAAATCCATGTCAGAAGAGCAGAGTGCCACTGGGACCTTTCATAACATGTGTATGTGCAGGTTCAACTGCAGTGTAAAGGTTACACGTCCACATTGCACTGATCTAACCTGATGAGTTGCCTTAAGCCCCGCAAATTTCTAAGGCTGTGTTTCTTATTTAAAGCAGCAGAACTTAATAGTTATCTCCCTCTCTACAGGATGACAAGCGAAGACGGGAGTGTGGAATGAATGCTTGAGATGCAATTCAAAGTCCACTGTGTATCCTCTACTCAATTAGGTGTGCACGAAGCAGCGACATCATTTGAATTTGATTTAGATTCATATCTGATAAGCTTGTTTTACCACATCTTTTGTAAGTAGGGTAATTTTATTTTTTCAAAATGAGCAAAAGGCATAATATACATCAATTTTCTTAATTGAATCATGCTGCC